GTGAGCCCATGCGCATGGAGGGACGGGCAGCGTCTTCCACATCCCTTTGACCCTTTGCACACTCAGCGAGCCCATGGTTTCTCTGAGCTCCCGTAAATGTTTTTTTTTTCTGAAGACTGACTTCCCCGGGGGAGTTTTAGCTCGGGCGCAGTCTGCCTGAGCATGTCTCCGCACCCCTCCCCTTTCCCTTCCTTCCCCGATCCTCCGAGTCCAGCACAACCCCTGGCCCCGAAGACGGTTTGTTGTGCGGTTTCTGTGGTTGTTTGTATCTAATCTCCTGATCGGTCACATCCTCTCGCTGATGAGTCACTGGCTCGGCTCCTCCCCTCGCCGTTCGGAAAGCAGAGCAAAGATGAAGACGTTTTCGGCAGCTGCGTCCGCCAGGCTCCCGTGATAAGAGCTCTCCCCAATTTATGTCTCCACCAGCCCTCATCCTCCCAGCACCTGCACGAGGCAGGTACGTTGCCTCATTTTACAGCTGGGGACACTGAGGCAACAGAAAAGTGCCGGGCAGTGAGTCGGTGCGAGAGCTGGGCATTAGGACATGGGAGTTGCCCGTCGGCTCCGGTCCCCGTCCACGGGTCTGACCTCTCCCTAAAGATCCCACGGGCTTGTAGGTAGGAAAGCCCACGTGGGAGCGGACTCGCAAGTCAAGTTATCACTGGTAGAAACTTTTTACTGGGGACGAGCATGAGCAGATGCCAAGGTGCAGCTGCTGGCTGGCAGGAAGGGCAATGACTAGGGAACCTCCTAACCCTAAATGTCTTCTTCATCTTCCCCCATTCGGGTGAGGCCTTCCTGGGGTGGGCACGTGGCTGGGTCCTAGGGCACCCAGGGAAGCCTTGTCCCTTTCCTGTCTGACTTACCCTCCAGGTCCATCTCCATACGGTGCAGCTCTGGGCTGCTCGTGCCCATGACGATAAAGATGGAGCAAGAGACCCTGCTTTCTGACGGCAGGGGCTTTCTCCTAGCCCAGCGAAAGGCCCGCAGGTCTTTGGGAGCTGGGGTTAGGTGACCTTGTGGCCGGGGTGCTTGGGGGTCACACGTCCTTGCCCACCCACCAACCGGCAGGGCCGTGGGCTCGCACTGAGAGGTCAGCTAGAGGAGCCTGTTTGGAGCCATCGGTGAGGGACCTTAGACAGCTTTGCACGGCGTACAGCCCCACCGGGAGCGTGTCTGTCCCCTCTCACCCGAGGGAGCGGTTCTCCGCGTCTACGTTCTTCGTTCTCGGCCTCCGCTGGGTCGGCTTGAACCCCCACCGCTCTCCCAGCAGTCAGGGCCTCCGCTACGTTTCCTGCATCCGTGTGTGCTGTGCAGGAGCCCTCCTGCCCTGCGCCTTTGGAAGGTGCGGGACGCCCAAGGGGTGCTGGGGGTAGCACGGGGACAACCACGTATGGTGGCTAAAGTGCAGGACCAGGACTCTGGAGACCTGGGGTCTGTTCCTGCCTTTGCCACTGACCTCAGGCAAGTTACTTGCCCTGCCTGTGCCTCAGTTTCCCCATTTGTCAAATGGGATCCCAATACAGACGTCCTTTTGGAAAAAGTTTTGAGATCTGCTGGGTGAGAGCAAGGGGGTGACGGATACAGAGGGACATCCGAGGCCGCGTGTCCTGGCAGGCGGCCTCCGAGCAGAAAGTTTGCAGTGAGCCAAGCTGGGGGGTTTCTCCGGTCTCCCAGCTGTTGCAGCCTGCCTGTGCGAGGCCGGCGCCGCGTGGGTCTTCGAGGGACTTTCATCCTGCTCCTGCTGCCGTGGGGCTTAGAAGGGGCAGTGTGTAATGGCGAGTCTCAGGGAGGAAAAGCGAAAGGCGTGGGTCTGTCGGAGGGTCTTCCAGGACCCCCCAGAAGCAGCGTGCAGAGAGAGGCTGCTAGGGCCTCAATATTAATTAATCTGTTTATTCCCTAGCAGCCCAGATCCGAGTGCTGAGGCTTTGCCTGCTCCCCAGCTCCGTAGCCCCCGCGCATGCTTTCCCCATGATCCCGCAGGGCTCGGGGGCTGCTCCCGGGCCCTGAGCACGCACAAAAGACGGGCTTGTTGCCGCGCGGCTCCTGGCTCCGGTTACCATGGCAGCCGGTGTAAAACATCTGTAATAACTTTCCTCCCTCTGGGCAGGGGGGAGGGACTGAAAGGTGACTGCGCCCGACCTTCGGCCTTCTTGCACCCGCTCCCCCGCCCAGCCCCAACGAGGATCTCCGGCGCTTGTGTCCGCCAGCGTCGGAGACCCCGGTCCACCGAGCCGGGGCCCGGGATGCTGCTGGAGACGGGCAGGAGGTCCCGGGTTGGAGGGGTGGGAAGTGACCCGGGCTGATTGCATGCTTGCTTTGCTCCTGCCCTTTCTCTGCAGCCCCGTTTGGAGCAGCTCTGGAGGGGGATCGTGACGGGGTGGCTTCCTGCATGTCACCGAATCTGAATGATGGGGGACTCCCGAAAGCCAGCCGTGGCCCGCAACAGAGGCAGAAAGCCTCGCTGGCCCCCATTAGGACCAGGGGTCCAGCCCACCTGCTCAATCGGGCATAGTTTTGTCCCTGTTAGCAGCCAGACCACGTACAGCCATGGTCCCGCGAGGAGCTGGGTGTCAAGGAGGTCTCCGGTCTTTGTGAGCCTCCTTTCTTGGCCACCCTGACGAGTTGTCACCGCGTGGCTGGTGTCTTAGCACCAGGCTGGCTTTTTCAGGTGCTTTCTCTGCCACCGAACTCCCCATGGAAGAGTTGTAACTTAGGGCAGCGAGTCTCTGCCAGGGTGTCGTGGCACCATAAGGTTCACACACACACGATTCACAAGGTAAACCCAGAAATTACAGATGGGAATCCACAGCCGTGGTCTGTCTGGGTTGTTTGCAACAGAAAAAAAGCTTCTCTGTTGTTTTTCAATAGGCAAAAGAGGGAAAACTAAGAGCTGGCATTTTCCAAGGGGGGCCTCCGGTCTATGCAGGGGTGCTTCAAGTCTAAAATGGTTGAGAACCACTGCCTTGGAGAAATAAGGCCAGTGCAAATAAGGTCTCTGAGAAGAGACATTGAGGAAGAGGAATGGTTCAAGACCTGGTCTGGCCTGAGCCCTTTAGAGCTACAGTTTCTTCAGTACTTCCATGCTTTGTACCTTGCTTGATTTGGCTTCCCAAAGGGGGTGGTCTGTGGCCAGGCGGGCTTGGTGTGGGGATGGCGATCGTGATAGCCCCGGTGCCAACCCCAAAGCTCGTGACCCAGCTGCTTGAAAACTGAACCAAGTGTGTTGGTACCTGACAGTGAACCTAGTGTGCGCGGGCTGGAAAGCGTTCCCAGAGTACGGTTGTGCCAAGCAGCTTCAGCATTGAGCATCGTGCCAGGTTTCAGGCGAAACCTTTCCCGGTCTCTTCCCCGTGTCATTCCTGGGGGGTGGCTACTGAATTGGCTGCAACTGGTTCCCAGGAGCTGGCTCATGCACTCGAATAATGCATCGTTGTGGAGCAGACCCTCCAGTCCCTGGACCAAGCAAGCAGGTTGGGTGGTTGAGTGTGAAGTGGAAGTCCTATGTGAACATTTTGTGGCTGGCAAAGGGAGCAGATACAGGGCTTTTATGTGATAATACAAGAAGTGTCGTAAGGTCGTGGCCACCTGGGACCTCAAAGTTGTCTCTTTCTTCCAGTTGCGTGGCCCTTCGCAGTGACAGCAGCCCATGTTATCCTGCTCCAGAAAGCGTCTGAGATGGAGCAGTCTCCATGAAGAGCTAGCTAAATCGATAAGCAGCACACAGAAATTAAGCCACCCTGGTGCCCTCTGGTAGATGGCCATGGCACGCAGAGCCCATTCATTGGGGTTCACGTGTGTGCACGTCCGTGTATGTGTGCAAAAGGACTGAATCCTTGAGAGAGTCTCCGTCTTGGATTTGGTTGGCTGCTTTTTTAATCAGTTGATTTCTGGGCTGTCTCTGGAGTATTGCTGCTGTAGGGATGGGATTGGGAAAGTCTGTTGCAAGCCTTGACCTAGGGGTGAAGCCGTTAAATACCTGACTTGGTGATTTTATTCTTGCCTAATCTGTTAGGACTCTCCAGGTGGTTTTAATTTCGGGGAGAAGGAAAGCTCTTAAAATGGCGACGCACCAGGGAAAGTCAACTCTTATCTTAAAATTCCCCAACTGGACCCACTCTGGGACACGGGAACGGTGCCAAGGCATGTGGTACTCCCAGGCTGCCGTTAGGTGGCAGTGGCGGGACAGCCGCTCTATGTGAAATGCTACACGTGTGTGGCCATGGGGACCCTTTTTACGGTAATGCCTGTGCTCCCTAGTCCTGGATTGGGGCCCCGCGCTCCTTGTCGCCCAAAAGACTGTCCCTCCCCCAAAGAGCTTGACACGGTTGTCTTCCTGCAGGTGACTCGGAGGTGATAGTCCCGTATCTCGGGGATTTTGGAGCGCACTCATTGCTTGAGATCCCCGTCTCCTCTGTAAGGTGTGCTTGATGCCGAGCAGACCCTGTTTTCAGGTCCTCGTAACTGCCAGGCATGAACCGTTTGGGCTGACATTCTCCGCAAAATGGCCTAGAGGCGGATGCCCAGCCCCGGGGAACGTTAACTCAAATGGCTAAAGCTTGGCAAAGTTGCAAGCAACTGGGGGTCTCACGATGACAGGCGCTGGGCCCTTCTGACCGTCGTCGGCGCGGCAGGGAGAGGTGGCACCTGTGGCGAGTAACAATTTTCATCCGACGTGCATTAGCCTGCGTGCTCGTGCCGCGGGGGGATGCGATGACACCCGTGCTCCTGGAGGGCTGTGCTGCGAGGGGGAGCGTTGGAGGGGCTGGCAGCACCCTCTAGCGGGGAGCTCTGAACGCTGCTCCCGATCTCCAGGGGCTGAGCCCATCTTGCAGCGTTGCACGGCTCGCCGGCTGGTTCAAGCCAAGCTGCGTGGAGCGTCGCTGCCGCCTCTCCTGGCGTGGGGGGCTCGCCAGCCATAACAATCTGTCACTCCGCGGGGCGTGTTCCAATGCAACGCGCCGGCTGGGCTGAAACGTATCTCCTCTTCTGTTTTCCAGGCTTCTCCCATCTGCCTAACGGGTTGTACCCTTCCTACATTCCCCTGAATCATCTCGAGCCCCCCAGCAGCGGCAGCCCCCTCCTAGCCCAGCTGGGTCAGCACAGCCTCTTCGAGTCCCAGAAAGGTCAGTGTGTTTGTGCGGGTGTATTGTGAACCGTGTGCGCGTGCCCTCTCTAGCCTGTCCTCATCCCTGTGTGCACCCTTGTTACCGCACTACCCTGGTGATTCAAGCCCTGCATGAAAATTTTCGAAGGAGGGAGACGATCGTGCCAAGAAGGGCCGTGTCCAGCCAGTGGGGGCTTTCCCTTTGTTTCTACTATCCGCGCCCAGCCCCAACACAGCTGTCGGGCTTCTAGGGCAGACAGGCCAAGTGCTACTAGCACCATTAGAGAAGAGGTTGGGATGAGCTGCCTCCATGCGTATCAGGCCTTACCTCCCCCACCCCCTGTCTACAGGGGCACAGCTGTGGGGTCGGCTGGTCACGCGTGGCCCTTGTCTGTCTCAGATTTCCACGGCCATTGAGCCAAAGGGGCTGGCGAGGGGAAGAGGGGCAATCAAGTGTCGCCCCTGCCTGGAGAAGGCACTGAGCACCGCTGGCTTTTTAAGTCCTGTTTCTTGTTTTGGGGTTTTGTTGTTCTCCCGCCCTGGCGGGGGGTCGGGCTAGAAGATCTACTAGGTCCCTTCCGACCCTAAATCTATGAAACTATAATAAGTTAGGTTCATCCCTGCTGCAATAGCCAGAAGGAAGGCGTCTCTGCTGAGCAGCTGCGTTAGAGGGACGTGTCGGTTTTGGGGTGCAGACACCTTAAAACTCCCAGTACAGGCAGGGGGGCCTGGGCTGAGGCAACAGGGAGCAGGGGACAGGCCAGGAGATGCACAGGCCAAATCACCCTGGGGTGCCACAGGGCTTGAGCTGAGCTGCTGATGCTTGATGCCTGGGACGGTGGTGTCTTCTTGCTCATGCTGCAATGACCGAGACACATGGGGCACCAAAGGGTGGGGAGTACAATGCCAGGAGCCAGATGGGTCTTATTAACCCTCACGGGTGCCTGTTGGTCCTTTCCTGTCCCCCAGTTCCTGGGACAGACCCATGAGCCTGGCCTCATGAATTAACCCTTTGAGGCTTGGAGCTGGCTCATTCTTTTCTCCCGAAGACGAGCGCAGTCTCTGGACATCCTGGTGCTCTGGATGTTTCACACACATGGGGTCAGGAGGGCAGGGCAGCGTGACTCTCAGCAGAGAGCTGATGCCTGTACCTGTGCTGAGGGTCAGCCTGGACTGCAGTCACCCTGGCTTGCTCCATGCAAACCCTTGCAGGGCTGGATGCTTGCCATGAAGCCATTGCAACCCTGTCCGTCAGTCCCCGGGGGGGGAAGGGGCTTGTGCTGCCACATGGTGGTGGCCTTGCACTGGGAGATCAGAGGGGTTCCAGCTGAACTTCATCAGGGATTAAAAGACAGAGGGTGATTGTCTCTCTCCAAGGCATAGGCAGCCCCTCGGTTCCCAGGGTGCTGCTTTCAGGGTGGGGTGGGGCAGCTGGGCTTAGCCATGGAAGAGGAGGTGGGTTTCTGGGCAGTCTCCTTTCCTTCCTCCCTACTCATCCCTTGAATCTTGGATTTGGGATTTGGTCATGTTCTGGGGACCCTATCAGGCCTCAGCATCACGGCTGCCTGCTCGCCAGGGAGGCTATGAAGGATCCCCCTTGCCCCTGCATGCGAGGGGGATCTGGTCTCAACCCCATCATGCCCTGGCTTGCTTTAACATGCCCATTTCTCCCACCCTAGAGCTGCGGGGCTCCCAAGAGGGCATAGCCCCTGTTCTGCACCAGCACTGGAGAGGAACCAATGTCACCTTGTCCCGTTTTGTTTTGCAGATGGGTTTTACCTGTCCGGCCATGCGGGGCAGCCAGCCTTGCAACCCCAAGCCCCTATCTCGAGGACGGCAGCCAATCACACGCCAAGTGCCCTGCTGCGCGAGAAAGATCTCGGGCACCTGCACAAGAGCTCGAAGGAGGGCATGAAAGACCCCCCTGGCAAGGAGCGGGCATGTAGGAGCGACCTCTCCTTGCCTTTCTCCAAGAAGGACAGCAAGCAGAAAGAGGAGCCCCGGCCACGCAGCGTGGTGGATCTCACCCAGGACACCAAGCCCGACAGCGAGCGGAAGGTGGCTGGCTTGGTGAAGGCGGGGGAGCGCCTGTCTCCTTTCCTCATGGAGCACATGCCAAATCGGGGGGCTGGCAGCGGAGAACCAAAGTCCAAGAACCCGCTGCAGACCTCTTCCCTCAGTAACTGCAATGGTGGCGGGGACCCCATGCTGAAAGTGCTGGGGGTTGAGCAGGACCGGTGTGCCAAGGACCCCAGCCGGCACGACGAGAACATGAGGCCTTCTGCTCACGCCCACCCCGACAGGCTGAAAAGGGGTGACTCCATCCTGACTTCAGTTGGTGCGTTGCACGTTTCCTGCAGTTGCCCCTCCCCGCACGCGGCTCCCCCGGGGAAGATGGTGCCCTCCTCGACATTCCCTCCGCAGCCTGTCCATTCCAACATGTACACCATCTTCCCCCCGGCCAAAGAGCCGGGGAGGGAACACAAAGTCATTGCCCCCACCTTCGTGCCTTCGGTCGAGGCCTACGATGAGAGGAACGGGCCCATCCAGATCGCCTCCCAGGCCCGGGACAACAAAGCGAAGGACAAGGACATGGGCAAGGTGGGTGTGTTGCAGTCGCCGACAGAGCGGTGTCTTGCTGACACCACTCGCACCCTCTTGTCCCAGGACTTCTCTTGCCACAGCGACGCCAAAAGGATGGAGGCCTTGAGGGAGAAGGGGTCAGTGATCAGGGCCAACTCTATGGCGCTGAAGAGGCAGGTGGCTTCAGAGCCTTTCCTGAACCGGCCCGGGCTCGGGTCTCCGGAGAGCAGGGAGTTCCTGGCGGCCAAGGACTTGATGAAGCCGAGTCCGGACGTGGAACACCGTGCCTGCGATCGAGACCGCTTCCCCCGCGCTGGCTCCAAAGAGTCAGCAAAGGTCTACGGCACTTTGGACTCCTCCAGGCAGCACCTGGACCATGGCCAACTGAAGCCCCCTGAGCAGAAGTGGAAGCCCTTTGAGATGGGCAACTTCGCCACCACCCAGATGGCAGTGCTGGCCGCCCAGCATAACCACGTCAACCGGGTGGAGGAGGAAGCCAAGAAGGTGTACCTTGACCCCAGTGGCCTGCAGAGGTCCTCGGTGGTAGGGTCCCGGGGCTCTGCAGACATTCTCCACCCCACTTCCCATGGCGAAGGGTCTGCCATGCAGAGCCTTATCAAGTACAGCGGCAGCTTTGCCAAGGAGAACGCAGCCCGGCAAAGCTGTGGCAAGAAGAGCCCGTTTGGTGGGCTTGGGAACATGAAGCCGGACTCTTCGCAGCTGGGAGCCTCTAAGGGGCAGCAGCTGCTGTCCCAGCCTATGGGGAAGCAGCTGAAGAGAGACCCAGAGAGGCCAGAGAGTGCCAAGTCCTTTGGCCGCGAGAGCATCGGCTCCCAGGGCGAGGTGGAGGTGAGGCACCTGCCTGTCGGCATCGCGGTGGCAGTGGCGCGGCAAAAGGACAACAGCAGCAGCAAGCTGGGGCCCAGCCTGGCGGACCGGGATCGCTCCCTTTCCCTGAGCAGCATCAAAGGTAGGATCCTAACGTCCATCTCAGAGCCACGCTCTCCCTCCTGCCCCAACCCCCCCTGCCGACCCGGGATGGGCCAAGAGCAAAGGGGCACATCGGGGAAGCTGAAATGACCCGGGGTCCACTCTCTGGGCTGACCGTGGATCAGGGACGGACAGGAATAGGATGGGTGTCCAGAGCTTAGTCCTCAAGTATATTTCCCTGGGGAGAAGGGCAGAGGCTGGCTGTGACAGATGGAGCCTCTTGCTACGGGGGTTGATCGCTGGCTGTCCCCTGTGAACTGAGTTGGGCAGACTCAGCTGCATCCCTTTGCACAAGGGCGTGCAGCCAACCAGAAGGATCTTGTCATTCCCCAGGCAGGAAAGCCCAGGACTGAAGGGGCCTAGGGGGGTCTGTCTGTTCCCTCTCACCCTAGCAGAGGTTGCTTCAAGACCTGTGCTTGGCTGAGATGAGTCCTAGCTACCAGAACGCAGCCCTCCCCCATTGACGTCATCTCTTTGCTGCTTCCCTCTCCCTGTTGTGAGCAAACCACCTAGGCTTGGTCTGTTCCCAAGGGGCTTTTTTGTGGCATGACCCCAAGCTCTGCCTGTCATTTTCCCCCATCCCCTGGTGCCTTGGACCCACTCGATCTGCTCGGCTTGTGTAATGTTTCGGCCTCCTCAGTTGCTTACTTCTGTTGAGTTGATGTTTACAAGCATGAACATGCTTGTTCTGTCCTGCAAACCCGGCTCTGATGGGGCCATCCTTCCCCTGTCTCCATGTATGCACACACACAAAAGGAATCAGAACTTGTGGCAGAGGTGATCTCTTTTATTAAACCAACTAGATATATGCAAAAAAAAAAAAAAATCTTTATTTGCAAATTTGGGGGTGTACTCACCCTTCTTTAGACATAGGCGAATGCAGAGTCTCCTAGGTGGAACTGAAATTCATATTTCACAGGAGAGCTGAAAGTGTTCTTACAACAGGAGATCTTACAACACCTTCAGCTCTCCGGTGAAGTACGAATTTTCATTGCCACCTAGGAGACATTTTACAATCTTTTCATTCTCCTATGCCTGAAGAAGGGCGAGCGTGCCTGAAAGCTTGCAAATAAAGCACAGTTGTTCTAATACAAGAGATCACCTCTGCCACGAGTTCTGAGTCCTTTTTGCCTGTAGATCAATATGGCTACAACCTGTATACCTTCCCACCCCCCACACACACATGCGCACACACTTGTGTTGACTAGTTTCTTATTAAACCTAGCACCAGCCTATTTGATTTCCAGTGCCCCTCAGCTTTAGTAGAGCTACGGTGCTCAGCACAGGGGGCTCCTGGCTGAATTTGCAGTTCAGCTCTTTTTTTAATGGCAACAAGATGTTGGCAAGAGGACCGCAGAACCGTCGTGCCTGCAGTGGGCCTGGGTGGCCGCTAGATGCCATTGTTGCTCAATGCAGACCTTGCTTATAAAGGCACCTGTTGGTCTGTGCCATTGGTTCCAGTGTGGGCTGCAGGGGTGGATCCAGGGGAGGCCTGGAGGGGGGTAGCCTATCAACCTCCACTCCTCCAAGAGTTCCCCCAGTGCCTAATAGCTACAGTGAGGCTCCCCATGTTGGAGCCCAGCCTTGGAAAATTGGAGAGCGACTCCTTGTAGAGCAGGTCTCACTTGGGTCTGAGAAGCCAGGGTGCTAGCAACCATCATAGGATTTCTCCAGTGTCCAGCATTGGAGGCTACAGCCCCTACAGAGAGACCTGAGACCCCAAAAGCACCCCCCAACTGAATGCTTGGACTAGCCACGTGTCCTGTTTGCCTGGAGACCCCCCCCATGTCTTGCACGTGCATCGCAGAATCACGTTGGGCAGAGGAGCAGTGGAAAGTGTCGTGCTAACCCCACAGCCGAGTCTAGTCCCGTCCATCAGGGATAGTTTCATAGTTTCTAGGGTCGGAAGGGACCTGAGTAGATCATCAAGTCCGACCCCCTGCCATGGCAGGAAAGAGTACTGGGCTCAAATGACCCCAGCAAGGTGTACATCCAGCCTCCTCTTAAAGACCCCCAGGGTAGGAGCCAGCACCACTTCTCTTGGAAGTTGGTTCCAGATCCTAGCCGCCCTGACCGTGAAGTAGCGGATGAGAGAGCTGCTCGGGTCTGACCCTGGCATGAGCCACATACCGCACAAAAAGCACTTAGATCTGGCCTGTTCCAGAGCCCAGTAAAGTCAGTGGACGGATCCCTACTGACTTAGACCTCTTTGAGCTTTGGGACGTGCGCCATAACCCATCAGGGCCCTATAGTTGTCCATACCCTGGATTTATATCCCATCCCATCTCGAAGACTCAGCACAGCTTACAGTAAAGAGAGAAACAACCCACAGAGAGGATTCTCCAGACTGTGATTGAGCTTGATCAAAGTTTTGCCTTGGAATAGTTTTAAAATGAAACGTAGCTTTTTATTATTATTATTGAAATGGAAACTCCAGTGGGGAAAAGCCCATTTTTGACAAAAAAATATAAAAAAAAGATTGGGATTGTGTTCTCCAAAAACGAAACCGTTTCAGCTGCGTTGGGTGAAAACTTTCAGTAAAAACCAAACACTTGTGCCTGACTGGCCAAGACCTTTAAAAGTTTGGCGGGTGAAGGTCAAAAGCAACAGAAGCTACGGTTTTTGACGAGCGCTCTTCAGATTTTTGTGGGATTCTTTTTTGCAAAGTTCCTTTTTTTTCTAATTGTCTTTTCTTGCGGGTGGGAGAGGCCATTTTTTAAAATTTTTTTGCAGGAAAAGGTATCCCCAGGAGCTTGCATGCACTTCCAAAGGAAGGCTGTCACCAAGGAAAGGGAAAGGCCCCGGTGGCATCTCTGGATGTTTAAACTTCTGGTGCAAACCTGTGCATAAACCTGTGTAGTTTGATTTAGTTTTGATTTTAATTTGGTAGCGAGGAGTTTGGGAAGCTGGGCTGAAAGAAACCTCCCTGAACCCACAGCGAGGAGATCTGCTCAGGGCGGTTGCATCAGGTTTTCCAAATCAGTGTAGAAACCAATTGAAGTGCGACTGATGCCATGCCCGTCCCGTCCCTCCCGGCTCCCCAAGGCTGGCACGGTGCGAGCAGTCTGATTTCTCCTAATCTCTCTTTCCTCTTTGGCTGCCCCAATGCACACCGATGCCCCTGCCCCTTGCACCCATCCCATTGAATGCCTCCATAGGACTGAGCCTGGAGAGGCACGTTTCAGAGGATAAGTGTCCCTTCTTGGCTTGCGGTGGTCCTCGAGTTGATCTTCCCGTCTCGTCCTGCTGAGGAAATAACGAGTCTTTTGCTGCCAGGCGTATGGGTCTGTGTCCCAATATCGTGTCGGCCTCCCCATCCTGCTTGCCGAGGCACCAAGGGGTAATAAACCTTGCTCCCCTGGGGTACATCTCGGAGCGTATCGGGGAGAAAAGGCCCTTGGGTGTACAAGCAGGGGAGCGCGTTCATACCAGAAGAAGTGCGGAGACCTTTAATTGCTGGAAGAGGTGCAGACTTGCCGGGAGGGAGGAACCCCTGGCCTCTAGCCGGACCCGAAAAGCTGGGCCCTCAGCTGCACACGCCCCTCCCCGGCGGGCGCCCGCCCGCCCCTTGGCCCTCGCTTCCCCCCCGGCTTCCACTGCACGGGAGTCGGGCAGGCGCATTCGTTTGGCTCCGATAGTCTTTTCTTTTCCACCGTCCTTCCCCGGCGCAAAGATGCGCCCCCCCCGCCATCACGTTCTCCTAGCCGAAACCTTTGTGCGGAGGGTCATTTTTCTCCCCCTTCGCCCCCCTCCCATTCCCAGAGCCCCCTTAATTCTTTCCACGCTCGCCCCTCCGCCGGGCCGAAGCGGACGGAAAGCCGCGTCGCCGGCACAGCGAGCTGTTTGTTGAGCCGGGCCCCTCCCGGCCCGCGGTAAATGTAATTTACTGAGCCGAGCGAAAAGGCTGCAAACAAGGGTTGGATTCTAGCGGGGCTCGGGGGCCGTTGCTAAGTGATGGCGTTGGCTTTCATGCCGAAAACAAGGGCGCTTTTCTCCCCCCGCCACCTCCCCAGCCCCTCCTTGCGTGCCAAGAGATATTCCACTAATAACATTAGCTTGGTTGCAGCGAGCGGTTGGTGCTTGAATGTTTAGACCTTTTAAGAAAGAGAAAGCGGGCTTTAGTTGGCTAATCTGTAGTATTTGGCAAGGAAAATGCAAGTGTTTAGTACCGGGCATCGGTTGCCAAGGCAACGGGCCTAGACTCTTCCCCCCGCCCCACCCCGTGCCTGGCTGATTGAATTGTGTGTGCGCTCCCTGCGTCATGTTCGTCTACGTGGACAAAATGGCCATTCACGGAGGAAGACAATCGCTGATTTGTACAGAAAAAGGAAGCCGTTCCCTTCTGGGAAGGGGAACTGTAGCAGCAAGAAAGAGCCGGGGGTTTTATTTTATGGTTAACAGAAACGGAGCTATAAATAACCAGCTGACAATAATATAAATGATGCCCCCTTGCAGGGGGGAGGGGGGAAAAAAAGGGAGAATTAAAATAGCCCGGGCGAATGCACGGCTGACGGGGGGATTGGCTCGCCCCGCATCGAGGAGGGGAAACCAGTAGCCGCAGGTCCTGTCCCAATTCCAGCTGCCGGAGGGGCCATAAATAAAGAAAGGAAGGGGCTCTGAATGGAAACCCGCGGGCGCTGGGGCCAGGGGCGTGTGTGCGTTGGCAGTGTTAGCGAGCTGTTGAGAAACACGGGCCCTGAGATCAATCAGCGCTCCACGCACACCACCGCGCGGAGTTGTAGACTCAGCAGAAGGCGCTCTGACGGTGGGTTTGATGTACGACCCCATGGTGCTGCCAGCTCGCTCGATGGATGTGCCTGGAAAAATCCATTTCCCCTCCCCTCTCCCCCTTCCCCGCTCCTCTTTCAAAGGCGTATCAGACCATATCCTCTCCGTGCGCCCTGTTTGGGCCGCGGTGAAGCGAGATGACTGTGGGGGGAGCCTGGGCGCTGGAGCGTGGGGGTCTACGTGCCTCGGAGACGGGCTTGACGTCTTGCCCGTCGTCCCCCTGAAGAGGGACCGTGCTGTAATGCGGGGTGTTTTGGGGGACAGAGGGGTCTTTCCTCTGAGAAGTCACACGTAGGATGAGCAAAGGTGCTGGCCTCTTCCCTCTTGCTTTGAATAGCTTCAGGCCCAGTGGGAAGCATGGGGGAAGTCTTAGCGCTCGGGAAGGACGGTGCCAGGAGCTGGCGTCCAGCGCGCTGTCCTGACCGAAGGAAGAGCTGATAGCTCGGAGAGCGTGAAGGCGTCTAGTGTCCGACCCCGTACTGGGATCACGAGACAGACAGTGGACGCGGCGATCTGCGCTTTCTGCCTGCTGCCCGTCAAACGGAGGGAGGGGGAGAGATGTCGTTTCGTTCCAATATTTGTTCTGACAGTAAAAGCGGAGGGAATTGGAGTCCTGACAGCTCAGAAACGCGGGCTGTCCAGGCTTGTGGAAATACACAGCAGAGCCCTCCTTTAAAAGACTCCCTGTCAGCAAAATAGACTGGATGTCGAGATGCTTTCCATCCCCGGCCCTCGCTCCCCCTCCTCGCTGCAGAGCAGAGGGGCAGCTCTGGAAATCGGGGAGGCACAACGGAAGACCGCCCTGCTCGAAAGGAGACATCGGTGAAAGATGAGGGCCGTCACCCGGGGGTAGAGTCTCGCCGTTGTGGGCTCCAGGCCTGCTAACAGAGACCTGCTAATTGCCGGGTGGGGGAAACGGAGGTTCCCACCCGTCTCCCACGGGCTGACTGAGGCTAGGGCCAGGCTTTGAAAACCAAAGCTCTTAAGAAAAGCTAAGGCATGTAAGAAGGCGACTGTGCAAGGGGGGTAGGTAGGTATCCAAGGCAAGGGCACTGGAATTGTAGCCAGGAAAATAAATAGGTACGGCAACCAGGACTTAAGAGTCTGCTTTGGATATGGGAGGTGCCAAGCTGATGCTGCCCCAGGCTGCATCTACTCCATGATCACAGCTGTGATGGTGACCAGCACCAAAGGCTTTGGATGAAGAACAAGGTGTCCCGCAGTAGATTTGCCCCCCATTTGCTCACCCCCTGAAGCAGGAAGCTTTTCTTCCAGCCCAAGCTTTGGTTGCGTTGGTGGATTTAATTCTGGGTCCAGTTGGCTGTGCAAATGCCCAGTCCCTCCTTCACTCCTGCTGCCTACCCCTGATGCCAGCACCTCCCTGCACCTGGGCAGAGTCCCCTTGGGTCCTTTGGACTTCGAGGAGGGTTGAGGGCTTCTGCTAAAATGTTGCCTTGCAAGGCTGGGGCTGTGCTATCAGCACCATAGCTGTCTCCCATCACTTGTGGGCTGGCAGTGTTTATTATGAGTGTTCATGTGTCGGTAGATTTTGACCAGATGAAGTAGTGTTGGAAGAATAAGACCAGAGGAAAGCACCTGTTTGCTCCCTGCCCAACAGACTGGAGAACCCCACCCAGGCATTTCTGCATCGAGCCAATAGCTTTCATTTGACCCGATCTATATAGGAAGTCTTAAAGACCAACCTGGATTTCTTACTAGCATACCTCGAGCAACAGGAAATCCCACTGTGTCTGCGGGTAACGTTCGTTCCAATAGTTTTAGTTTTTAACACATCACTTGTGGTTGGAATGACTTAACCAGACGTGACTGGGATGGGAACAGTGTTAAAAATGCCAGAATAGGTACCCCCTGGAGTTTTGTCTGTTGATCATAGCTCTGAGTGGTAGGTCCCTTGGCACCCCAGTCCTATGACTCCAGCTGACTCTATTGACAGCTCACAGTGACCGCCAGGAGACACTAAATGGGAACTGTCGCCCTTGAATTGCCAGCTCTGAGGGAGCCCAGTGTGTCTTGCTGAAGGAGGCCAGTGGTATTTTCACGGCTTGCTTTTGTCATCTACTGATGGCCTGGACTAGGGCGCCGCAGACATCCCTTCTAGCCCTTAAGCTTCTGTTTGCATCACAGGGCACGGCCGCTCGGACGATGACTGCGGGGATGACCGGAGCCGCCACCGGGACAGCCACCTCCTGGCAGGGCGTTTGGAGCGAGATCAAGAGAAGCTGCTGAGGTGATGCCCTGCTCAGGGGTCTGGGCTTTGCTCCTTCAGGCCTGCTCCCTGCTTCTCCCTGTGTGCATGGCGTGTGCATGCCCTTGGCACTTTGTGCTGCAGGCAGCGCACATAGAGCCTCCCGCGTGAAGCCAGCAGCGTTGCAGCCTTCTGCTCTTCTGAGAAAGTGGGTGCCAGCATCTCCCTTGACAAAGTGCTGATGGCCCCAAGAGCAGAGGCAGGCCCGAGGAGGGGGCTGGGATTCAGGGAGGGTAGGGACCAAGGAGCCTGCCAACGTTGCATGTGTCTGCAGCGCACCTCTGATCGGCCCGCAGCATGACCCTGCTCGCGCCCCCGGTGAAGGCAGAGGCTTCACGAGGCACTGGGCAGAACCCAGAGCTGCTCCCAAGGAAAGGAGAGGCAGCAGGTGCTGAGCTGAGTTCTGCACCTTCCTCTTGCTCTAAGGAGCCCTTGGGCTCCAGACATAACCTCTCCTAACCCGTTGTTGCGCTGCTGAGCTTTATTTTGAAGACTGACTCTTAGGAGTTCTAGTAACATGTGCTGTGTTGGGAGCTGACGCTTTGTGCTCCTCAGCCAGCCGAGGTGGGCTGTACTAACTTTTTGCTTTTCCACCCCTTCTCTTCTACCCTTCAGAGAAAGCAAGGAGCTGGCAGACTTCGCTCGGATACACCCCTCTGGCTGTGCCACCAACGGTTTGAACTCCAACCTCATGGTGACAGGGGGGCCAACCCTGGCTGGCTCAGGGCGCTGGTCTGCTGACCCTGCTTCTCACTTGGCAGCTCACCCGTGGCTCCCCAGGACAGGTAGCCCTTCCATGTGGCTAGCTGGCCACCCCTACGGTGAGTCTGGGAGCGGGAAGGGCAGGGGCCTGTGGCGGGTGTGTGTGAATGCAGTCAGGGAGGAGCAGAATGGCGCTGACTGGCAGGGGGTCTTGGCCCCCATCTGATTTGCAGGGAGGAGGGAGATTGTGTTTTGAAGCAGGCACTATGCCTGTAGCTGCTGCAGGCTGAGGCCCTGCGGGCAGCACGGTGTTCTAGTTTCTCTTTTGCCTGCTCGTTTCCTTCACGTACCCCGCATCTCCCCCTTGCTTCAGAGAGAGTGTTTGGTCCCTGAGTGTCTGCAGAAGCCCTCTGGGGCCGAGGGTTTGTGCACACCTCTGTCCCATTGAGTTGAGCTGGGGTGATGATTCCTTTTCTAGGACTTGGACACCCTTCCTTGCATCAAGGCATGACTCCGGGCTTCCCCCCTGCCATGGGCGGCGCTCTCCCTTCTGCCTACCAGTTTGTCAGAGATCCTCAGTCTGGGCAGCTAGTTGTGATCCCCAGTGAGCACTTGCCACACTTCGGTGAGTACACAAGCAAGGGAGATGGCTTTTGGGCACTGCCTTGACTGGTCGTAACCCAGACCTGGGGTACAGGGCGAGGACTGGGGTCTGTCAGTCGGAGCAGGCCAGGAGGGTACACGTTGCACTCTCTGGCAAGAGACGCTAGTGCATGGAACCTGCACCAGCCTCAGATGAGTGCGGATCCCCCATGAGCTCATGTTCTCCCCATGGTAGCAATGGCCTATGTGTCTCTGCTTTGCCATAGCTGAGCTGATGGAGCGCACCCCCCCTCTCTGGCCAGCGATGTACCCTCCAACCAGAAGCTCCCTCCAGCACGCGCACCAGCTCCAGCTGCTGTCTCACCAGCAGCTGCTTCGACAGCACGAGCTATACATCCTGCAGCAGCAAGCCGCGCATGCCATGGAGCTCCAGAGGAGCGCACAGCTGGTGGTATGTTCTGTAGGGGCTGTGACGGGGAGCTTTGCAGCAGGGCAGTCTTGTAGTCTGGGTCTCTCGGAGCACAGATCCCCATAACCTCCCATTTTCTTTGCTCGCATGCCTGGCATTCAGAGAGATCTGCCAAGCAGTTTATTTCCAGTCCTTAAGGGACCTCAGTCTTGGGGGTCCTTTGACCTGGAGGCATTAGGACGCTGGCTCGGTACCTTGATTACGGCTGCAAACAGCAGTTTGATGCTAGTTGATGCCTCTTTTATTGAACACAGCATTTCAGTGTCAATTCCAGTCCAAACAAATCTTGCTAGACCCCATACTCCTTCCTGAAACCTCGGGACCCAGTATCATCACCCGCAAGCACACAAACATCGTGTCAGACCCCAAGTAACCAGAGACAGGCGTAGGGCACAAGATTTTAAAAAGCATAAACTTCAGCCTGCTTTCAAGTTGCCTTCATTTGTCGTGTTGCTTTTAAATGGCAGCTTAGGTCCTCAGGTATTTCCATGGCTCCTGGAGCTGGGAGGGGAAGTCTTAAATAGCTTGTGATACAAGTCACAAGAGTCGGCAGCAGCAGTCATCTTCTGTCCTGGCCTTTCCTACAACCTCTTCATTGTAAGGCTTCTAACTCTTTTAGACCTCCCACCTGGCATTTGCGGGGAGCCCTTTCAGGATCTCTTCCTGTATAGCTGCCCCCTACATTGTCACTTTGGGTCAGTTGACTCAGCTGCTCAGCAAGAGCTTTGAGATGGGGCATTGTGTTGTGCGTGGGAGCCCTGGCTCCAATACCTTGCATTAGCCCTTCTCCAGTGCTGATAATGGCTAGTTGTGGTGTCTTCTTTGACCTCCCTACTAGCTTAATGTTGTGGCTCCTTCTTGCTTTCAGGCCTGGTATCCCAAGCAACATCACCCCAAGGTTTTTTCTCTGCTTTTGCAACAGGAGAGGTTAAAAGCCAATGAGCATCGAGCGGACATGGAAGAGAAGATTAGCAAACGTAGCCTGGACAATGCCAAGTCAGGCCTGTCCTCCTCCACATCGGGGCTGCTGCACCGGAAGCCACCCGTCCTGTCTCCGAGCACCTCCACGTCCTACAGCAAGGCTGTGAGTCCACCCCCCCTGTCTCCCAGAGCCTCGCCTGTGTCTGTGCTCAAAGCTGAGGTGATCCAAAAGATGGAGGCGCCACCTACACAGCCAGCCTACTCCTATCCCGCCACCCCCAGCTCCCATCCTTCTAGCCCGCCCCCTGCCTCTCCACCCCCTGCCCCTACCATCCCTCCAAAAGAAGAGACACCTGAGAATGTGGAGAAGAAAGACTTGGAACTGAGGAAAGAGGCCACCAGTCCATTCCAGGCCTTGTTCCCAGGTAAGAGAGCCCTGCTTTGGCAGAGTCCCCGTGTGTTTGTGCCTGGCTCCCTTTCTCTCCTCAACTCTTTCCTGCTTCAGACCCTTCCCAGGAGAAGATTGCCTAGGTCCTTTTCAGTGAAGGCTAATGCACACGGAGCAGGAAGTTCTTGGGAGATGGGGTGCAAGGATTGACCTGTGGTGTGGCACTGTAGAGATACCAGGAGTCTTGGTCCTGGTTCTCGTCTGACTTTGGGAGGGGTTGGTTCCTCCAGGTGAAGATTAGCATTTAGGGGAGAAGAGCAGGGCAAAGAATGGAGGCTGGATTCTCTTCTCCTCCAGGACTAGCTGGCTGCTGGTTCCTGTGGTCTTTACAGCCTTGATGGAGGACATCAGCTTGAGCAGAGTGGGAATACCAGAAGTGCAGCCATTGAGCAGAGCAAAGGGGTCAGAGAGGGTGGAAGGTAGAAGGGAAGCTGTCCCTGGAACTGAGTAGGAGAGAACCAGGCTTGGGTGACAGGGCTCATGGGCACCCAGCCTCTCTCCATCCTGTTCCTTTTGGTTTCTTGCAGAGATCCCACCAGGGTATCCATTCCAGTCCCTTCCCGCCTCCTTCGGACGCCATTATCCTTACCTCCTCCAGCCCACGGCAGCTGCTGATGCGGATGGCCTGGCTCCTGACGTCCCCCTGCCTGCGGAGGGCTCTGAGCACATGGAGCTTTCTCCAGAGGTCAAGCCCATACACCTGTCCCCGTCCAAAATGCTGGAGCCCATTCAGGCCACAGTGGAAGAAGAGGCCTTGGAAGAGAGGGTGAAGTCGGAAGTGGAGATGGATGAAAGCCAGGAAAGGATCTGCGAGCAGGACATGGAAGCTCTGAACATGGCCACTTCCACTGCCGTCCCCGTGCAGAACATGGACAGCTGCAGTCTCCTGTTGCGCCAAGGGGAAGCCTTGAGCGCTATGGAGCAGGAGCAAGAGGCTCTCCAGAGCTGTCAGCAAGCCTACCAGGTTGTGGCCTGCCCTGCAGAAGCAGAGGCCCAGGCTGAGGCAGGCAGCGGGCCAGAGACCTGCTCAGTGCATATGGAGTATGAGAGCTCACTGATGCACGCAGAGAGCGAGCAGCCAGAGATGGACGTGAAGCCCGAAGGGGAGGAGCCTTCCTTGGCCATGGACCTGCAAGGCAGTCACTTACCTCAAGGACGGGAGTTTTCCAGCTTGCCTTCAGCTGAGGGGGAGCAGGGCCCAGAGATTCCCCCGTACGCGGATGAGGCCATGTCCTGCCAAATCCCAGCTCTGGACATCAAGCCTGATGACCCACTGGCAGGCATGAATGCTTTAGTAGCTGCTACAGAGATGCCTCAGGCTTGCTCCTTGCTGACCACCAGCGTCATAACCCACTCCCAAGTGACCACAGAGGCATCCCCCGACCCGTCGCTGGAGCACTCCTTCCTGCAGGGGATCACCCTGCTGAGTGAAATCGCAGAGATGGAACTGGAGAAGAGGAAACAAGAAATGCAAAGTGAGTTGTGGGGTTGAAGGCGCCATATCTGATCCCGGGGCGGGGAGGGGCTGGCATATTTGCACCTGTCCATGCAGCTTGGAGTGTCTCTATGGGCCCCACACTCACATAATCCCCTTGTCTCCAAGCATTTGAGTCGGCGTGTGTTGCACATCTGTCTAGCAGCCCCACCATGCTCCCACTGTAACCTGCTTTTATTGCTGATTCTCCAGACTGACTTGGCATCAGGGTCCTGCCACAGGAGGTAGAGATACAAGTGGTGTTTGGGCTGCTTTTTGCTTTCCAAGCCCATCCCTGTGTCTAGACAGTTTATAGATGAACATAACACGGTACTAAATGGCACGACCCCTCTTGCTGTTATGCTCACCAAGTTCTGCCGGGCTTAACATCCTTTGGGCAAAGACTGGTCCTGTAGGCAGCCAGGGTTTGGCATAGGAGGCCCAGATGCTCTAACCGACTCTCTCAGCAATAACATCCTGGCTAATCCTGAAAGGGTCTTGGCTACCAGGTGCAGGCGAAACAGTGTCCTGTCAGTTGGAAAGCTGCTGGGGATCTCTTGAGTGGGTCGTTACACACTAGGCCTCAGATACAGGTGGCACCGAGGTTGATTCGGACACCCCATGGCAGAGGACAGATCTTTGATGCTCATCAGAGATCAGCCAACTCTTGTCCTGATGGCAGGTGAAATCCTAAAGGTTTCTTTCATTCCTAAGCAGATCCAGAGAACTGCCCCATCCGCCCCACCCTGGAGAGTTTGCTGGCGGCCAGCACCCACATGCTGATGGAGGTGCTTTCCACCCCGTTCATGGACAGTCTGAAAACCATCCGGCTGCCTCGAGAGCTGAACCCCAACAAGAAGTACAGCTGGATGCAGAAGAAGGATGAACCTGTAAGTAGCTCTTTGATGCTGTTGAGCTTGAAGCCATGGGATACCTGAAAGTTCCTCTCAATGCTGCTGTTCGTCCATACAGCAGTTTGCTTCCCGACTACTTTCCCTGCCAACCTGCAATTTTCCCCTCTCTCCTTTCTCCCAGCCCTGCAGTTGTAGCTGAGCAGAAGTCAATGGGGCATGATGTGATTTCCTTCCTTGTTTGTGCTTAAGCATCATTGATCTCAGTGGGAAGGGGCACAGTGTTGGGAATGGTGTTTGCCATACAAAGACAGGAGGGGAAGCTCATACGTTGTTTCTTTGGCTGCGGGGGTACACAAAAGATAGTGCCAGCATTCTTTTCCTTCTCGGGGAGATAGCTTTGCAAATTCTTTAGGCATTTACTAGGCAGTAACTGCTGAATGGTTGGTAACGTGTTGGGGTGAGCTTAAATCCAGTTGACGGGAGGAAGAATTAATTGGTTTATTCAACTTCTTGGCTTTTCCTCTTATGGATCCAAGACTCTTTTTGCACTCTCACACCATGCCTACAATGTAGAGTCATGCAGAGATAGCTGAACTACCTCTGAACAAGCCTGCTTAGGTACTAGAAGCAGGATACCTGCACTAGAAGGGTACTGGGGTGAAGCGCCATATGCTTGCTTGGCCAGTTAGTTTGGGTGAAGTGTGGTAATGCAGCTAGCTTGCTTTCAGTGCCCAAGCCAGTTCAGGTATGTCTGCCCAGCCCTGTGTCCTAGGAAAACAGGAGCCTTCCCATGGCAAGTTTAAGCTTCTGGTCTGCTTCCTCATTGGACCCAGCACCCGTCCAGACAAGGAGGACAGAGACATGACTGTGCTGCTCTGTACTGAGGTTGGAGGGGGTCCTGGCTCAGCACGGTGGCCCTGGCTTCCAGGGCTGAGCTGCCTGCCTCTGCAGAGGTGTAACATCTCCTTCTAGTTAGGGGAGCAGGCAAGCAGGGCTTACATTATGGTCTCCCACATTGCAGCTGAGCATGCCACTGCAGGGCAGCCTGCTCGGGCATTCAAACGCCCTGTCTCCAAGGTAGGTAGGCAACACCATGTAAATAGGAGTTTTCTGCCAGTTGTGATGTGGGAGGGCAGCTCTTCTGCTCGCTGCATTCGTGGGACTCTGTGGCCCTTGCTGAGCAGCGGGATGGGGAGCAGCAACAGGCCTGTTCTAACCACGGGGCTGGCTGCAGCCTTCCTGCATCCCCTTATACCGTCTCTGCTTGCCTTGCCTCCCCCCTTCCCAGATGTTCTCCATCAAGTCCGCCATCGAGAACATGGATGCCATGGAGCTGGACTACAGGATGCGGCTGGCTGAGGTGCAGCGGCGGTACAAGGAAAAGCAGAGGGAGCTGGTGAAATTGCAACGGCGCAGGGACTCTGAGTAAGTTGGGCAGGTCGCTGTCCCCGCTGGGTACCTCCACGGCATCCAGGTCTAGGAGAACACTCTTCCCTTGCTCCTTCCCCACCCCTTTTACAGCGTCTCTGCCCACGCTTTGCACACGCGCTCCTAGGCTGTTAAAACGGCAACCGGATGACTGGTGAAGGCAGCAGGGTGACCCCTCATAAGAGACCCTTGGCTTTCGCAGCTCAGCGTAGCGGTTCAGTGGCAGGCGAAGGCTCCGGGCCGTGCGACCGGCCTCGGTTTGTTTGTGTTCTTGCTCTTGTTTTTGCTGTGTGTCTTGTCGCTCTGGTTAACAGTGAAGCGTGTGGTTCTTTTAAAGGGAAAAGCATGACGAGAAAAGTAGAAGCTTGGTGCGAAGAGGCCCAGGAAGGCCCAGGAAGAGGAAGCATGGATCGAGCGGTCTGTCGCCCCTTAAGGAGAGAGGGAAGAGTGACAGCAAGAGCGGAAAGTAAGGCTGGAACGCGGGGAAGATGGGAATGGCAGGGTCTCCGCACCGTGTCCTATCAGGGACGGCGTCCCTCAGGCAGCGGGGTCCCGGTGCGGTGCGTCGTCGTCTCAGCAGAGCATGTCCGTGGCAGCAGGGCTTTACCGTGTGGTGGTGTGGTGGCCACTCATTGCGTCCTTGCGAGCAGGAGTGCCATTGTGGGGTCGCCTCGCCTCGCCATCGTGTGCCTGTTGCCTCTGGAGGAGAGACATGGGGCTGGCTGGCGCGTGGCCCGGGCAGGTGGACAGCAGGGCAGGCCGATGGCATCGCGAGCCAGGGATTTCGTGTCTTCGTGTGCGTTCCATGCCGGGACGGTGGCTAGCACCAGGGGCTCTTCTGGGCACTGAGTGTCCGTGTCCATGCTAACGATTTCAGTCCTAATGAATTCCCAAATGTGAAAGAGGTTTCTGTGCTGCGGCCTTTCTGCCACGTTGCCCTCCCATCGTCCTCTTCTTGGTGGGAAATAGGCTTGTTGCCTGCTCTCTCCCCTTCTTCCCTGGTGGGTGTCTGGACCCCTTTCTGTTGCTGTGCTGGCTCTGGACAAGTCTGAGAGCTTCATTTGGGTTGCTGGAGCACTTCTGTAGTTCTGTGAGCTGCCTCTTCTTTATGGGCTGGGTCTCACTTGGAGGGTCAAGATAGGAACAGGAGTCAGAGGCCCGATTCCCATTGATTTTTCACCTGCCGTGGTGCCTCTGGAAATCAGGCCCCTCCATAGTTTTGTAACTTGCTTCTTTTTTTTGGTGGTTTGAAAGGCTTGGGATGTCGACAAGTGTCTGGACTCTCTTGCATGTGCGTCTCTGGTGGAAGCAGGCATCGCGGGCATTCGTGGAAGCCTTGCTCTGAAAGCTGAGCCATACGTAGATCTGCCTTCTGATGGCCGGAGGCTGGAAAGCGGCGTTGGTTTGGCTTTGGGTTGTGGGGGAGAAGTCAGGAGGGCAGAGAGAGAGAGGCTGCTGTGTCCCGTTTTGGGGAGGCGAGGAGGCTGTGTTGTCTTGGTGGCTTCACAGATGTGGCAGCTGTGGAGTTGGCCTGGCGGATGTAGTGCGAAGGAGATGGCTGTGGTTTGCTTCCGTCGCAAGGTGGCCGTCAGCAGCGATGGGAATGGGAGATCGCACAGCGTGTGCGAGGGAGTTGAATGGAGACTTGGCAGGAGCTCTTTAGCATTGGCTCACCACTCCGTCCATCAGCCGATTGCTGGAGGCAGCTGGGGAGCGGTGACACCCGTCCTTGTCCTATCTGCTCTCCTCCCTCTCCTTCCCCCCCAATCCCATAGAGGGTGCAGGGAATCCGGTCGCAAGTTTTGCTGGTGGAGGGCCAGATCTGTAGCATTCATGGACAGCGTAGGCCTGGCTAATCCCTTCCCCGACCCTGTTTGCCAGGTCCTTTCAACTCTGCTCTGCTCTCAGCTCCCTGATAAAACACCACTCCTGCCATGCACACAAGGATCTCCACCAGCCCGTGGCTAGCTCAGTACCTACTGTATCCTGTGGAATGAGTCTCCTTGTATCGGTAGAAAACCCAGGGAAAGACCTGAAGGGTCATCACATCCGTTCTTCCCTTCCTGCTCCTTAGCACAGCAAATGGCTCTCTGCGGCCCTTTCCTAGCCCAAACACGGGTGCTCCCACCGCTTGCCTTCAGCGGCCACTTCGCAGGCCTGCAGATCTCTGCCGAGAAGCACCCTGCTTCACACCGACCATCTAGAGCAGGCATCAGGCACTAATTGGCACGTCTGCTAAATGGGCCAAATCCTCACAGCTCTCAGGTGATGTAGGTTCTTTGGAATCGATGGATTTTCCCCAGCTGGGGTATAGTCCCAGGTGCCAGGTTTGAGGGCCTGTTGCTGGGGAAGTGACCTCTGCAGAGGTTGGTAGATGCTTGCAGGGAGGAAAGGCCAGCCTTGATGACCAGTCCTGTGTTTGGCTTGCAGACTGAGCAAGTCCTTACTGCTGTCCGAGGACTCCGAGACTGGCGAGGGGATGAAGAAGAGGCACAAAGGGGCCCTCCCTGAGGAGGACGAGGACGCCGAGAGCGGCGGTGGGAAGGTGAAAGGGAGGAACCAGAGTTGGGAGGAGCACGAGGCAGTGTCCAGCTTTTCCAATGAGGTCAGTACTGTCACGGTGCTCATGGGACTGCATGCCAAAGGCAGAGGCAGCGTGGTCCAGAGGGTAGAGCAGGGCTTCCTCTGAGCCTTGCAGATGCTGTTCTAAAGCAAGTAATACATAAAGATGCGCCATAGGCAAGAGGCCCTAGCAAATGCCTTACTGTATGGAGGGAGCAGCGTGGGGGGCACCAGAGCTCCCAGCTGGATGCAAAGCAGGTTTGGTGTTGCTGCCTGCACTGGTATTGAGCCGAAGGGCTGGTCAATTGACCCTCATGCTCTTTTAAAACACTGGGGTGTTTTTTGTGGTAGCAACACGATACTGCAGTCCAGACAGTACAACTGGTCCCCTTTCCTGTTACAGCAGCATGTCAACTCTCATGAGATAAATGAGTCTTGCAATATTTGGGGCATTTTTTTAAGGCCTCAGTTTTTTGGACTCGAAGAAATTATGGAGCATCTTGCTATACTGATTTTTTTTAAACGTGGTTTCTGGTCTATACAGTTGTCAAGAAGAGCTTGTAGGTATAATCTGAGTGTGCTCTAAAGGGTCACCATTCAGAAGGGGCCCAACATGTGTTGTTAAAAAAAAAAGGCATGATGTTTTTGATTTTTTTTGGGGGGGGGGGGGGGGGGGGGGGCAAGAAATGCTTAGCAGCGCCTGAGTCTTGGAGGCTCAGTGTGGGTGAGCTTGTACTAGGTACCACAGGGCAGAGCTTCCTCTGCTGCCCTATGTGTATCCTTCTGGAAATGCCATCTGGATGCCAGTCCTGGGAAAACTGTTGTCTCCTGCCCTCTCGCAGGATACATCCACAGTGGGGTTAAGTTTTTCCTTTCTAGGCCCTGTTTGTTTGAGCGTACCGTGAACCGCAGTCAGGTTCATCAGGAGAGTCAGCCTATAAAGTCTCTGGGGTCCGTCTCGAAACGGAGCTGTATTCAAACGTGTCCATTTCCCCTTCCTTCCTCGACAGCTAAAGATCAAGAAGAAGAAGATGGCGTCAGATCAGGAGCAGCTGGCGAACAAGCTGGACAAAGCCCTGTCACTCACCAAACAGGACAAGCTCAAATCCCCCTTCAAGTTTGCAGACAGCTCTGGGGGGAAACAGAAGACCAGCGGAGGCAGTGTCAGCAGGTACCTGTCGCCCCACGAGCCCCTGTTGAGCAAGGAGGAGAAGAAGAGCATGGCTAAGAGCCTCAGCTTGTCGCTGAAAACCTCCAAAGAAGGTAAAAATAAAATGGCTGCCAAAATGAAGAAGATGGAGGTGGGGTTAAAAGTCAAAAGTCAGCTGAAAGTTTCGCATTCATCAGCAATATCTGAAGCTAGCAGCTACTCCTATAGTAAGTAACTGCTCACTTATTCCTCTTTTACAGTGAATTTATGTTGTGTGGGGGTTTTTTGTTTTGTTTTTTTATGAGGACTTAGTCTCCGAGGGCCATTGGAAATGGATCTAATTTTGCTTTCAAGCCAAAAGGTGCTCTCCTCCCTTTGCCTGTCGATTTGAATTGGTGGAGTCTAGGCTTGGGTCCGTGCACAAAGCCTTGGGTGCTTCAGTCCTTAGCATCGGGAGCTGCTGAACAGTAACATAAAAGTCTTTATTAAAAACCTCCGTCGGGACACGAATGTGCATAACAAATGCAAGTCCCCGCACACTAGACTTACCCTGGGTTGAGGTGAAAGGCATTAGTTGGTTATTTTTACAGTGTAACAAGGAACCATTCAGCAGATCTCTTCACCCTAGTACAATGTATTTTGGAGGGCAGGTGAGTGCCAATTTGGCATCTCTTCAGTAGCTGGCCCACAAACCAGGGCCCAGGACAGGTGAATTAACTTGGCAGAGAATTAAGATATTCAGGAGGAGACGCTAGCAATTATCCAGTCAGATAGAGGCGGTACGTGCAATTTCCCGTTTACACGGTGAAGCGAAGGGGATGCATCTTGGCTGTCAAGGATGCCCAAACCACCCACCGATTTATTTTCTCTTCCATGCATTTCTGATCCCAGAATGACCTTCCTGCGTGGGGTCCATTGAGCACCCAGCAGTGACGAGGGGCTGGGGGCGCTGGGCGGACGGGGTCACGGCTGGGAGGGTTGTTGGCTTTTGACGTAGCAGTTTCAAGCCTGAGAATTGCCTCCCGTGGACTCGTTCATCGGTGTTCCCGGGGAGCAGTTGCCTCCATTTCCACTTTTGCATTAAGCTTTCCATCGGAGGTGGGGTCGGTTGGGACTAGGAGGTAGTTTGTGGCCTCCGTCTCCTGCTGCGAGGAAGAGGATGGTTCTTCAAGGACCTGTGCAGTGAGATGGCTCCATATCTCTGTGCTCCAAGCTTACCCTGGGTTGAGGTGAAAGGCATTAGTTGGTTATTTTTACACTGTAACAAGGGACCATTCAGCAGATCTCTTCACCCTAGTACAACATATTTCAGAGGGCGGGCAAGTGCCAATTGGCATCTCTTCAGTAGCTGGCCCACAAACCAGGGCCCAAGACAGGTGAATTAACTTGGCAGAGGAAAAATGGTGAGGGCACCAGATCCTTTCCCCATCCTGCTTCAACCCCAGGGCTATTTTTTGGGGTCTTAAAAAATGCAGACCTCCAAGACCCCTTCTTATCCTCCCACCAGTGCCTGTCTCCAGATGTGGTTGGAGAGCAAGTGCCGATCCTAACAAGCTGGAACAGTTTCCCCCCTTCCCCCGGTCATGTTCATAACACTTTGGAATTAATGATGCATTCAGGAGTAACAACATAACATTCAAATCCGCTTTTATTGGATCCATTGGGTACCATATAGTCTTAGCGCCGCTCATCGGGTACTGGATGAAAATATTGGCTGATTCTCAGTATTGGGTACCCAAGGGAAATGTCAGCTTTATGAAAAGTAGACTGTATTGTGGCTGGATTACTGTATTTTCTTGCATACAACATGCCTGGTAATATAATATGCACTTTGTTTTTGAAAGTCAGAATTAATTAAAAATAACCAACCAACCCTTTTGTTCTAGTAAGTAACTGAGTAGCAGCGGTTAGGGAGCAGAGCCAGCTTCATGTTGTGCTCTTGTGAATCCTGCGCAGATTTGATTTTACTTTCACTTTTGCCCGCAATCGGCAGAAAGTGTTTACCGTATTTATTGTATATAATGCATATACTGCAATTTCCAGCAGCTGGTTTTTTTGGGGGGGAGGGGAAGGGGCATGTTATATGTACGAAAATATGACATCACAGGCTAAGGAAGAACCTCCAGACTCTGGCTCGCTCCTTTTGTCCCAGGTAGCCTCAGTCTCGTTGCGTGGCACTGTTTGAATGATGGCTGATCGCTCGATACAGTTAGTAAACATGATCTTTAGCCCATCCCAGCTATTTCCTGGCTCACCGTGTTGACATTTCATCATGTGGGTGAATTCATGTGCAAATTGAGGGCCAGTTCTGGCATTCATCATATCCCTAGTTAAGGCTTACTACAGCAGGGTTGGCGTCCCATCTGGCTCTTGGCATTGCCAACTTTATAATGAGCGGGAATTATTATTATTATTTTTTAAATCCAACTTGTTTTTCCTGAGCACCATGCTGCGATACGTTGGTGGGGAATTCCAGTCTGGGGAAGGAGTGGCCGTGCTTCTCTCGCGGTGTTTTTGTTTTTTGCTAAGGGATTGCACTGAAGAGCCTCGTTGCAGCATCGGAGGGTTTTTTCCAGCTCCCAACCTGGTGCACTCAGGCACGGGCACTTGTCAGGCCTGAACCCTTTTAGACGGAGGAGTAGTCGTAGAGCTGTGTTTGCCCAGCGCCCCCTGAGTCTGCTGTAAAGGGATCTTTGCAATTCGAATGGAGTCTAATCTTCATGCAGGAGTAATGAGTTTTGCATTCTTAGATCAAATCCAGAATTTCTTCCAGTTCAAACTAAGCAAAGATTTAGGCGGCTTTCCCTGGACAGAGACTGTCGGTCTGGGGTTCGGGCGTCAGGCCTCATGGTTTTGGTTGCCTTCCTCCCTACCAAACCCGAAAGCTACGGCGATGTACGGCTAGGAGAGGCAGATAAGGATTGCGAAGCGCCCTCCGAGCTGCGTAGGGGCAGCTCGTCCAACTTGCAATGCAAGCGTTCTCGCAGCCTTTTGTCTCCGTTGCAATGTCGCCCTTTTTAGACCGTTAAAAGACAAACCCGCGGCCAAGTGCATTGATTTAACGCTATTAACAACTACTTTGACTGCAGATACGGACTCGGAGGAAGATGACGAATCCCTGAAGGACGAGTGGCCTTCTCAGTCTCCCTCCAGCTCCAAAATGAGACCCCCAAATCTCTACAGCGTAGTGGCCAAAAAAAGCAGCAAGCCAGCCGGGGGCCTCAAGCCAGCCAAGAGGGGCATGGCTGCCACTAGGACTCTCAAATCTAAACCGGCCGCAAGCAGGAAGCAGCAGTTTTGCTTGCTGCTGCGGGAGGCCGAGGCTGGATCTTCGTTCAGTGACTCTTCGGAGGACTCGTTCGATCAAGGTTACTAGATTATAACAAACACAAAACAAAACACACACAAAAAAAAGAAAAGTCTCTTCCGTGTTTGTGGAACGTGTGCGTGTGCGCGAGCGTGTGTGCGTGTGCGAGTGAGAGATGGCGGCACTGAGGTCTGCCATCTTTGATGGTCCAAGGAAGGGCGGCCGTCTTTGTTCCTGGCAGCGTAGCCTGCTTTATCGCTATAATCTTTTTTTGTACTTGTATCATTTTGATATTATTATCGGCTGGCTCTTTTGGAGCTTTAATATCAATTGGATTTTAGTCTCCACTTCTCCCCTCCTTTCCTCTTCCCCATCTTCCCTTCAGTCCCCCCTCACTCTCTTCCTTGCTGCCACCACCACCATGATATGATTTTTATTTTTATTTTATTTTATTTTTTGATTTTGATTTTTTGGCATGGGCCTTGTAGAGGTTTGGAAGGAGCTTGCTTTCTTTTATTTTTTTTTTCCTAATGGGATACTGTTGTGTGGGTGTGTGATTTGATGTTTGTACTGCAATTTGGTATACCAAGCTTTATTAAACATATCGAGTTCATTTTTAACTAAACCTGTGTACCTTGTCTCTCTTGCTGTGTCTCTTATTAGGCAATTAGGTTGCTGCTTCACTTCATCCTGCTCTGCCTCCCCTTTTCCCTTCCCCATTCCTGATGTATAGAGCTAGAATTAACATAGTCTCAGGCGCTCTCTATTATTCAAATATCCCTGATAGCAATTGGCTTTTGCTATATTTTTCTAAGACAAAAAATGGATGTTGCCCCCTCTTCCACCCTTTTACTTTTGTTTCTATTTTGCAGCGATTGGTATTTCAATTTTTTTTTCCTGTTTCCTTTGGAATAGACTCTTTTGAGGCAGACATGTAAGACAGAAATAATAGTAACAATAAGCTGGATAGATACTCACATTTCTGTTCCAAAAGCGTGGCGTTACAATACTGTATTTTTGCAATCCCACGATTTTTAAAAATATTGCGGATGCGTTTAAAACGCACACGGCACTCACTCGAGCCTTTTTGGATTATGCATTTTTCAGATCTCGTAATTAACCCACAGATGTTCAGGGACGTAGAAATCGCCACGTTGAATTGGGCCCCACCATTCAAACCCTAACCCCAACCCCAAATTTCTCCCTTTGGCTTTTTGTTCATCTGTCATTAATACTTCGCTGGGAAAAGAGATCGTTCGAGACTTTTCCTCAAGAGACACAAGGCAGTTTCTGGTTTAGAGCGTGCTTATTAAATAAGAATCATGGGGGAAAAGTCAATTTAATGAGCTCTGGAGTTTCCAACTCAACTCCCAAACGAAGGTAGCTTGCGTGGGCTGAATGTTAAGGAAGGGGGGAGGAAGCGTAGTGTCCCCTGTTATCAGCAAGGTAACAGGTTAACCGAGCACCTCCTATTTGAACGTAGCACAGCAGAGTCCCCGTAGGGATTTACACCCTGCTTCAGAGAGCTGCCCATTCAAGGTGGGTTTGGCTTTTTTTTGGTGTTGCTTTTTTTCTTTTCTTTTTTCCTTTTTGCTCTGCCCCTCTCTGACCCTGCTTCTCTTCCCCTTCCCCGCCCCCCCCGCCAAAACGAGTGACCCATTTTTAACAATCCCAGTCCAGCCCCCCAAAGCGACAAACCGCTGCTTTTTCGCATGGATCTGAAGCGGCCGTGCCGATGCATTCATGCAAGAGGAAACCTCTGAGGGAGAAGCAAAATGTCTCGGGGAAGTGACATTTCCTCAGAGGACCTGCAGTGCCGCAGCGGTGGTGGGCTGCTGTAAGGGTGGTGGGCTCTGCCTTTTCCATGAAGAATCTGGTTCAGCCACCTCCATCCCAGCTGGCGCCCCTTCCCTTTTCCCCACCCCCTCTTTCCCTTCATTCCCTTTTTTTTCCCTTTTGCTGCCATTGGAAATTTTGAGGATATCAATCCTTTTGCCAAGCCCTTGAGGTTTTTGTACCCAGCTCTCTTCCAGATAAGCAGATAGGTAGCTTGTCCAGAGACTTCAGACCATTGCCTGGCTTGATGCGTGTCTCAAGCCACCTCTCTGCTTAGGATCCCCGTTCCCATGGGGTAGAGTCTGGGGTGGCGGGGGGGAAGCGGATGGGAAATCTGGAACGAATGGGGCAATGCATTGTAAATCACGCTGCGGGGTGATTGAGCGGCGGGGGGGCGCAAAACGCTGGGGAAGGTGAAGTTTGCGGGGGGAGGCGGGAGGGGTCACGGGTGATCTTTTCTGAAAATGGCTCTTTTTCTATGACGCTTTTCTGTAAGGGATATTTGGGTAATAGGGTTTTCTAATGGCTTTCCCTGATACTAAACCGATTAATAACCTCAGCTTTTCTAGAAGTGCTCGCTTTCTCCTTGCAGCTGCTTGACCAACCCCTCCACCCCTGACCCCTATCCATGACGCTTTGAATGTCTGTATCGGTCTCTTGCATTTGCTCTCTGCACTAAAGAAGCAAAGTGATTGGCTGGGAGTAGGGCAGACACTGCTCAGCGAGGGGTCTCTAACCATGAACCTGAACCTTGAACATTGTTATGTAGGTAGGCAAAATACCTTTTCTTTATGTCATCTGTAAACCTGAGACGTTTCGATGTTAACCCCATGACTTGATAACACACGTAGACTTTTTGCATTTTCCGGCTGGCTTGGAATTGGAAGAGGATCAATGTCCGCTTGGATTTCGCTGTCCTGCAAGGAAGGTCGGCTCGAGCGTGTGTGCGTGCTGAGGGCTCCAGAAAGACCTTGCGGATCTGTAATTCCTTCGCGGGGAAATCTCCTCCCAAGCAAAAGGCAGGCCCGAGTTGACGGGGTCGACCCGCTGCGGGAAGCTTATGCGGCTTCTTGCAATGGAGCGACCTTGCCTTGCCGGGACCCAGGATCCACCGATGTCCACGAGAATCGCTGGCTGGATGATGACTTTTGTTTGGGAAAGGGACCTCGCTCTAGGAAGGCGGCTACAGAAAAGCCCCTGGGTTTTGGTTTTGCTCTGAGTTTTTCCTGGAGGTCAGCAAAGGGGTGGGGGGGTAATTTGCTTCCCGGGAGAGTAAGCGTAGCATCACCGTTTGATGAAGCGTGCCATATCTCATCAGGTAAAGTGCATGAGAAGAGCCTTTGGGTGGTAAAAGCCATGCAAGCGCGTAGGAAGCCATCAAGATGGTCACTCTTGGCCAACATTTCTTCCCTCTGTCTCGATGCGACTTTCCTCTGAAAACGGACCTCTCTCCTCTCCTCTCCTCTCCTCTCCTTCCCATCACTGGGGAGACAGCCCATCCAAGCACAGACCGGGGGGTTTTAATCGCCTCTCCCGGCACTTGATCCGAAGGAACCGTTATGCGTGTATTTTGGTCCTCGATGCAAAGCATTTCTGGAGCCCGCAGCACAACACATGGAGGGAACAGAAACCCTTAAAAGAACGTGAGTTGATGTGTTTGACAAACCCGGTGCAATGTTTCGAGGGAAAATTGAAGCATCACTAATATTCCAAATTGGACAGATCACTCCAAACGGAGGTGAAGGACCCGGTAGCTGTCTAACGTCTGCCTGTACTTAGCCTGCTTTGTATGCTGTAGGCCTGCTTGGCATTTGGAGAAAACCATGCTATTTTTTGACAATGTGAAATGAATCTTTTGAAGTGTGTGTTTTTTATCCCCTTGCCTCCCTCACCCGTCCTCTTCATGCTCCTTCAAACTCACCTTGCTTCCCATCCGTCTTTGAACATCCGAATTACTTAACCCGCTCCTGTCCATCATTAACAACCCGTTCACTCACTGCTCTTCTAACGACCACGAAGCCCCGCGCCAGCTTGGCCATCTCGAAAGACGAAGGGAAAGTTTGAACCTTGCTCCCATTTTTTTTTTGGGTGCTGAATTGGATGCACAGGTTAACGTTTTGTCTGTAAAGTATTTGGTGCCTTTGGTTTATTTGCCGCCGATGGCATTTAAACATCCCTTTCTTTGCGTGTGTCTGTGATGGATACCTCCGTGTGCGTGTTTGTGTGTGTGTGTATGTACGTACACAGACACACAATCTTTGGAAATGCTGCGGTTACTACAGCTGGGGTTTTTTGTGTTATGTACACTTCTTTTCTTTCCTTGGCAAAGCATTGGCAGCTTCATAATGTTTGGGGAGGGTGGGGAATGAATATTGTTTTATAAAAATGTTGTGTTTCCCACCTCGGACCAGAGTTTCTGTTAAGGTTTCCAAGTCACTGTGTCTACATGGTGTCTCCTGTTACGTTTAGTGGGGAAACTTAGAGTTCAGCACAGGGTGTGCTACAGGGGTTATTGTGTGAGCCGTGGCGATGGGGTTTCTAGGGCCGAGCAGAGCGGGGCATTTTCGTCTGCAGCTTGACTTGGGATCTTCGTTCTGAAGGCTGTGAGTTAAGGGAGCTGCCCAAAATATTTTATTTTTTGACTTGTCCCATGGAAATGCTAAAGGGGAAGGGGGTGCGGAGGCTGCGAGGGGTGGAGGGATACCTAGCAAAGGGAGATGTCCCATAGGAATGGCAGGAGGAAGTCATGTTTGCATTTAAAAAAGTATTTTTTCCTGTTCTGGAAATTGTGCCTGACGTGGATGAGACTGGTGTTTTCAAGAAGTGCTTTGGGTACGGATTGGCAATAGGCTTTCCCTAGTATAACAGTATGTTGGAGGGAGAGGTGAAGAACTGCCAGATGGGTTACTACGTGGATATTTGCCATAGTGTGAGCGACAGCTGGTTTCAGCACAGTTTTTCCATCATTTTACCTTGGTGTGTTTAAAGTGCTAGAGTTGCGCGGCCTATCTTACAGATTAGCAAATGCCAAATGCGTTTTTGGGATGGTGGAAGAGGAGTTTAAACCTTAAATTGTCGGGGGAGGCCCCTTAGTTCATCGGAGCCGCCTGTGTCCGTGCTGGCGGAGAGCACGTGCCTCCTGGCCTCTTTCTGTTGTACGGATCTGCTCGATCCCAGCGAGTCTGGCTAGCGATGGAGCCCGCTTGGCTCTTATTAGACGGGGTGCAGTCGGTTGGCTTTGTGTCTGGAGTCTGGCAGTGTAGCTGCAGCGATGGTTGACGGGCCAGAGATGGAAGAGAGGAAACGCGTGAGCTGCGGCAGCCTGACCTAAAGAGACGGGGGGCTGTTCCTGGCTTCCTTGTTCCCTGCGGTCTAGGCATGGATGGGGGTCTGGGCCGCGTCTCCCTTGTGGCAGGTGTTTTGCTCCATTTTGCCCCGGTCCCATCATTTAGGTGCATTAGATCTGAAACTCTGGCAAGGACGGAGCTCGTGGCTCTGTCACAACCGCGTGGAAGTAACCACGGAGCCGGGATGGGTGCCGCAGGGATCCCTGAATATCCCCCGCGGGAGCAAGCTCCGGTCAGACGGAGCACTTTCCCGGTGGGGATGCGAGGGCTTGCCTTTCCTTCCCCTCGCCCCAAGCTCATGGCTCCGTAGGTTTAAGGAGGTGAGCGGTCACGGCTTTTTTGTCATCCGTTTCTGACCGTGGATTAACGAATGCATTGTGAATTTTAAAGCCAAGTCATAAGCCTTGAGGGAAATGGGATATCTTTTTCCCTCCCAGGAGTTGTGCGTAGAAGGAGCAGGGCAGGGAAGGAAAGGTGGGCTATAAAAGCCAGGCAATGACAAAAAGGCAGTCTTCTTGATTTAGGGGACATCAGATGGATCGGGGGACATGGTATTAAAGCCGTTTTAATCGAAATTTCCCCGCAACGTGGGTTGAAAGTGCAAGGCTGTAGGTGATGCAATTCCATGTAGCCCCCAGAGCCAAGACCCACCGCGGCCAGCACTGATGGGCCATTGCACACTGGCCAGCACGGGGAGGGGGAAGAAGGACCTCTCGTGATGGGTCTTTGGCTCTTCATTAGCTCATTGCCTTCCTAGTAGTTTCCTCCAGGACTTCATCGGACCAAGACTGGCATTTAACCTGGCAAGGCGCTATTAGAAGTCAAGCTGACCACAGCTGAGTAGAAAGAGCTGGCATTGCTGGAAAGCGTGAGGATTTATGACTCTAGTGTGATTGAAGTCCCAATCCTACAAGTCAGCAAGCATGTTGGCTGCTTTTTAGGTGGTTGTATTGTGTCTTGGTGAATAGGGAGGCAGATCACGATACATTTGAGTGTGATAGTTGAACTATAAAGGCGCGTATGCCCCTTTTTGCTGGTTTTTGGTGGAGGAGCAAAGCCCAGAATAGTTCTTGTATTCCCCTCCTCCCCAAAATCTTTGGGGGTTTTTTTCCCCCTTTAATATGTTCTTTACATCAGAAATGTCAGGGCTGGATTTCCCTGTTTTTTGGAGGATTGTGAAGCTAGTGAATGATGATCTTGCAAGAAAGAAGGCTGGACAAGTGAACAGGGGAAGGGATTTTTACTCAGTGCAGTGCGCTAATTCTTTGTTTTCTCAATGCCATTTTTGACTCAAACTCCCGAGAAATACTTTGGGGGGAAAAAAAGCGCTCTTTGTGCAAAGTTCAATACGCCCGCCCCTTTGACTGCTGCCTGAACGAACTCCAGTCAAAACAGGGAAGGCAAGAAGTCATCTGATATTCCTGCTATTTCTAAGTTTAAAAACGAGCCCAATAAGGAAAAAAAAATACCTTTTTTAAAAAAAAAAAGAGTGAGTGAAAGCGCACTGAGACCATTTTTAAAAAATGCATCCTAGAGGGCACGAACGGAAAGAAAAATATTTTCCTGCTTGCTTCATTTTAAAAGGGGATTACGATTTAATTTATCATTTGGCAGGCTTTCAGAAGGCAGAAAGAGTAGCCCACGGGGAACTTGAAAGCTAGACATCGGCAATGCAAACAATATTCTTAGGTCTGGTGGAAACCAGGCCGCCGTATAGATCCCAAGTCATTTCTCCTGAATCGAGGCTGTGAATTATGCTTGCCAGCCCTGTTTCTCTTTTCTAAGCAAGAAAGATTCCCTTTCGATTCCTCTCGAATGGGTATAGCCAGGCGACACTCGGTAAACTGCTTCCCCTCGAGTTGCTCTCTAGGTTGACCGGCACATTGTGGTTTCAGGGAGAGAGAGGGGGGCCTGTTCCTGCGAGCAAAATCTTCCCCCTAACCTCCAACACGCGCGCATGCACGATAAAGGGCCAAAGCAGCCTGCTCTCATTTGTTGCAAGCTAGGCAGTCTGCTTTGCCTGATCAAGGAGACTTCTTGCCTGCATCCAGCCGACCCCATAGGACCAAGCTAGGAATTTTTGGCCTGAGAAGAGAAAAGCAACTGCGGAAAGTTTTTACACGGTGTCTTAGATGCACCACTCACCCGAGTCCAAAGCAACCTGCTGAAAGCATCTGCTTTAGTAACTGCCATTCTCTTCCCTCTCTCTCTCCCTACATCCGCGATTTATATTTCCTTAAACATTCAAATCTCATCGCTCTTAATTTCCCTACTTCCATCTTGCCACCTGTCCCTTTTTTCTCTTTGTGTCTTTTTTTACCCTCCTTGCCATGCTCTTTGCAATTCCCCTTCTGTAGAAAAGAACTGTGTACCAATTACAAAGCTATTCCCATGCAGTCACAAAGTAATGGATTTCATCATGAGGGGGGGACATCCCTGCACTTATAAACCCGGTGTTTTCAAGGGAGATAAATACTCCATTGCTATTGAAAATGGGTGGGAATGGTGTCTCACTTCCTTGGGCTCCTTTGAAAATCTCAGCCTAAATTTTTCCTTTTCTCTTTCCCATCCCTTACAAGTCTTTTAACAGTATCATTATTATTATTTTAATTTTACTGTACGGTATTGGATATTATGCCCATCTCTTTGAACAAAGGTGATAGGAGGTGAGGAATGATGTCCCTGGATGCTATATGACTTTAAAAATAGTCTTGTGTCTGTGGCTTAAGCTTTCTTGCTCTGTTTGTTGGGTAGCTTTGTAACAGTAAGTGTTGTGGTGGGGCCGGAGCAGGCGTATGGTGATAAAACCCATGCCGCTCTGTTTGCTAGAAAGATGCCCCACGCGTACCTTGATGCACTGGGGTATGGACAGGTGCCCCCTGATGAGATATGTAATGGGTTTCCTGTCTTCTGCGCGCTAGATTCTAGTTCGGAGGAGGAGGAAGAGGAGGATGAAGAGGAAGAGGAGGAAGCGGAGGACTATGGGCTGGACAGCAACAACAGGCTTTCATCCCCAGCCCTGGACGAGAGTGGCTTGGGACTGCTAGCAAGGTTTGCTGCCAGCGCGATGCCGAGCCCCATTGTTCCCCCTCCACTTTCCATTGTCCAGCTGGAGGCCAAGCAGAAGGCAAAGAAGAAGGAAGAACGGCAGAGCCTGATGGGTGAGTCCTGGGATCTGGGGTAGAGGATGGTGAAGACTGCCTGGGACTAACAGGAGGACACGTTGTCCAGGGCTTTTTAGCCACCTCCCCCCTCATAGTCAAAGAAATATTGGCATAAGGTCTTGGTCAGTTCTGGCAGCTTCTGGAGAGGGAGTATAGACAGACCCTTCACTCCCTGCTCCTCCAGTTTAGGCCTGACTCTGAAATGCCAGGTTGAGGCATCCATATGGAGAGCATCGTGCCTAGGGGGGCTTGTAACAGGGCAGTCTCGAGGTGGCCTCCAGCCTTTGAGTGGTGGCTGCTGGGGCACGCTCGGGAGTCGGCCTCGAGTAGCTGGCGGAGCAAGTCTTCCCCCTCTGCAGATTTCCCCTGGCTTCCCTGTATGGAAAGGGCTTCCCAGGGAGAGGCAGCTTCGTGCTCAGGAGTGGGGAGCATCCATCAGGCCCAAAGGGGGTGTGAGATTGTCCTCCCTGCCATTATCAAGCTATTAGGAAGCGGTGCTAAATTCTGATCAGGAATTTGCATCTCTGTAGGGGAGGGCAAGGCAGGGGGAAGGGCAGCACTGGCAGCCGTGATGCAAAAGGAGGTGATGATGGCAGGAGGCTCTTTTGGAGGCAACAAAGGTGCCTGATCCAAAGCCCATTGTAGACACTGGGAAACTCCCGTTGAGTCCAGTAGCTTTGGATCCACCCCAAGGGAGCCAGGCTGTGGTCTGGCTGTGGGACTGTTAGTGCCTGCTGCCACATTGAGCTGTAAGCATGCTGCGCTGCTAGCTGCTCAGCTCCCGGCGCTACGGTAGGACGCCTCTTGGGAGCCTATGGCAGGAGCAGGCTTGCCAGACCCCAGCGTGGGGGAGAGCAGGAAAGAGAAGAGGGAACGAGGAGCAGTGCCCAGCCCCCGCTGCACTCTACTGCTGGTGCTTTCTCCTTGTTCCCATAGAGGCTCCTAGAGCAGCCAGCAAGAGAGCCAGTTGGGGTGCATCCTGCCAGGCAGAGTGCCCTCCTCTTCTGTCCTTCCAACCCTCTGCTCTGCTAGAGGAGCACTGGTTACCAGGAGAGCCTATTTCCTAGTGCTTGCCAAGTGCTTTCAATCTGCAGTGAGCTTGCACTAAGGGTGCCCACGTAGGGAGCTGGGGCAGAGCAGCCAGGTTGCTTCCTGCGTGCTCACCTCCCTGCGGCCGGGGGGCGTGCGACTGATCCAGAGCCATCATCCGATTAGAGTGGAGTTGGCCCTGCCTAGCCGTGCTGAGGTCGCTGTGCATCCGTCCCTCCCTGTTGGTCTATCTCAGCCTCTCTCCCATCTTCCACAAATAGCTGCAGTTTTGCTTTTTGGCTCCCCACACACCTTCCTGCAAAAGGACCCCAGGGTGACATCTTTTTCAGGCAGGCAGATCCATAAAGGTTCCATTTATAAACCCTTTATTAATATTTATTAAATGATAATGGAATTTATAGCACGCTTCAGAATGGGAAGTGATGCCTTCCCAGGGAGCCCCGCTTATGTTAACACCATTTCCATGCTATATTAGGCTTTCGTTGGCTTGTTCCAACGGCCTCCGTTATGAATTTATCACGATTGCTTCTCATAACCATTAAAACCCCAAGCATCTAAAAATGGTCCAATGCCTGTTAATAAAAATGGGAGAGTTAATATCGTTATGATGAAGGGAGCCGTCCTGTCGAACGTTGCTTGCCTGTGTCTTGTGCTTGTCTGGAGTGTGTTGCTGGGGAAGAGGGCAGGAAATGTTGGATGGGGAGTCCTGCAAGTTGGATTGAGCTGGAGAAGAAAGGAGGGGGGGATGTGTGGGTGCGTGCATGTGTGTAGAAGACAGAGAGATTGAGAGAAGCGCATAGTCTGATCCTACTTCCAGGTCTTGGAACAATCCCTTTCACCTACTTGGATGCTGTAAAGCCAGGGTTATGCATTTTAAGGTCTCCCTCCTGCAGACCAAGGTTGCCACGTGGGATCTGGCTGGTATTAAGCCCAGAGAAGGCAGTGGTAAGCAGGTGTGGCAGGGTCTGGCTTGTTTTAGGCACCGAGGCCAGGCAGGAATGCCCCTTGCCAGTTCTCTCCAGGTCTGAAACCTCAGGGCTCTTTTCATCATCCCCTGATCCCATCTCCTACACATGTAGCTCCAGGGCGTAGGTTATACACATGCAGACAGGATCCGATCACCTGTGTAAGAGGCAGATGAGTGGGAAGCAGAGAGCTCTGTGACTGCAGCTCTTGGGTGGGATCGTCAGCTGGGAAGAACCGCAGGAATCTGGGGGCTCGTTTCCAGGTAGCCTTGAAGTGCCCTTTCATGGGGGATGGGGAGGAAGGCTGGTTCTCAGTAGCCAGGGCTCTAGTTTGGGGCTGAGGAAACCGCTATTGAAATTCTCTGCTCTGCCTCAGCCTTTCCATGCCAGTTTGCTTAGTCTCTATGTGCCTCAGTTTCCCCTCTGCATGATGGTACTTGCGCCATTGCCCTACCTCCCTGGGTGGTTGTGAGGATACTTGGACACTGCAGTGCCAGGGGCTGTATACGGATCCTAGATAGAGGCTGTCTCAGATGTGGGGTGTGGTACGGGAGGGGATTTCCACTCGCCACATAAAAGAGATCATTTTCCTCTCTCAACTCCATACCCGCACCAGTGGAAAGGTCCTCCTGCTTCCTTTCACCAATCAGGAAACCTGGCCAGGAACCTTGGTTGATTCAATTAATAAAACCTGTCATCCTAATGAAGCATGGGCAGGTGCGGGTGGTGTAAGGAGCCCTAGGCATTAGGGAAGGGCAACCAGGCTGCAAGGGGCTTGGGTCTTATTCCAGCCACACAGCCCTTCCAGACCGAGCTCTCTAGCTTCATAGCATGGGTTTCCCTGGAGGGCCTGGCTGAGACTGCAGGGATGAGGGGAGTGGGAAGTCTCCCCTGCAGAGGTGAGATGGGGAAGGGGGAAGACCTGGGATCTCTCTCTCGGGAGGAATAAAGGGAGGGAGGAGCCATCACGTCCGTCTTCCAGGGGGAATTTGCTCTGCTTTGTGGGAGCGGGAGCAGAGCAGCAAAGGTCCAGAAGGAAGAGCTCAGCCTGGCTCTGGACGGCGGCTGTCATTGGGTACTTGGCCGTTGGGGCTGGGGAGTCCAAGACAGCTGGATGTGATGCTAGTAGCCACGTTGCAGGGTTGTATGCTTTAGGCTGCACAGACTGGCATGGCTTCACCACCCCAGCCCATGACTTCTGTGTCATGGGACAGCTCTTTGCACCGAGGTGCTTTTGGGTGGATTTTGTATCTCGGGGCTGTGATCTGCATGTTCCTTCTGACCTCCCAGCACTGATGCAGTGCCTGGGCTCACTGCTCAATCCCCTTGTGCTTAGGGACGGAGTTTGAATACACCGACTCGGAGAGCGAGATTAAGATCCGGAAGAAGTCTCCCTCGGGGCTGCTGCGTGGCAAGAAGGGGCTGATGGACCAGGGCAGTGCCGCACCCAGCCAGACAGCCAGCATCTTGGACCCCAGCCCTGGGAGCAGCGACAAGGTCAAGGTCGGGGTGGAGAAGGGGCGGAAGCTGAAGAAGTTCAAGTCACCCAAGGACCTGAGCTTCGAGTTCGGGCTGGAGGTGAGTGATGATGACCTGTGGAACCGGCGCCGGAGCGAGCGCATCTTCCTCCATGATGCCAGCACCTCGTCCTCAGTGCTGACGCCGGCCCCTCCAGCCAGCTCCACCCCTGTCTCCAAGCCTGCCCGCTGTGGGAAGGGGGCACCTTTGAGTCCCAAGAAGGACGGGAACAAAGGGAAGGAAAGGAAAGACCTGAACAAGGTAGGTGCGGTGCTGGGGCTGGGCCAAAAGCAGGCAGTGGGGGAGAGGGAGGGTGGGCTGCGTTTCACTGCCCTTCACATCCAGGGCCTTGGAAGGGGGGTGGCCACCTCAGCAGCCCCTCGCTGTCTCAGTCTGCTCACCGCAGGCAGCCCCTGTCTTTATCCTCAGCCTCCCACCTGAAGGTGGGTCTGGGCTTATTGCTCTTGCCTGACTCTCCACATTCATTGTTGTGAAGGGTCTGGGTGAAATCCTGCCCCCAGGGGCATCAGTGAGGAAACTTTGGGCTTCTGGTGGGACAGGATTGACCCCAAACTTTCTTCTTCCCCTTTATAAATATGGCAGTCCCATCCCCAGCTGCTCCCCAGCCAGCTTGCGGAAGCATCTGGCTCCTTTTGGCCTAGTCTCTGGTTACTGGGGAGATTGGATTATGGAAGAGTTTTGACAAGTTGTCACGGCTCCAGGCCAGGCCGCCTCCTTTGCTGTCCCAGAGGCAGACTCCATCAGCAGGAGGTGCTGGCGGGGATAATTAAAGCCCTCCCTGGAGCGTATCCTCGAACGTCAGTGCAACGGTCCAGCAGGCTCCTGCCCAAGTGCCGGTGTCCTGGTCTGAATACGAGCCACTTTGCTACCCTTTCCCCTCTTTCCCTCTCGCCTGTGATGGCTGCTGAGCTTCACTGGCCAGATCTGTTTGCGAGGGGGGCTGCTCTTGTGTTTGCCTTTAGCAGAGGAAGAAGGGTAAAGACGGCCCGTGCTGCTCCTCCTCCTCTTCCATGTCTCCCCCTGGCATCCCCAGCTCCCCTTCCGACGTCCGGGTCAGCCTGGCCACCTCCCTGAGCTCCAACAAGAAGAGTAAAGCCAAGGTGAAAGCAAAGGAGGTGAAGAAAGAGGTGAGGGCTGAGGCCAGGCTGGAGCAAAGCTGAAGGGTCTCTGCTCCTTTCTCGCCCCACGGCACCATGAGAGGAGAGCACCCCCCGTCCACACACACGCCTCCCTTTTGGGAGCTGGGATGTCCTCAGTGCTGCAGTGACTCTTCTTGCTCATGGGTTAGGCCGACTTTGGGTCCACACAGGCGAGGCCCTAGATTTATTTTTGGTTCTGGTTGAGAAGCGTGAAGACTCAAGTGAGCGTAGCACGTCCTGAGCTGGGTGCTGTGCCCAGGCGGGTGAAGGGCCGTCTGGGGACTGAGGAGTCCGGGGCTGAATGGACTTGCAGGCTGACTTCCCCATGGGCCTGGAGGAGAGGGACAGAGCTGGGATGTGAAGCAGGTGGCAGGCCATGCCTGCCGGGGGGTGGGGGGCGAATGTAACTGCTGCCTCCTCCATGGAGTCCAGTTACCAGCTGAGAGACGAACCCTTCAGCTTCTGCCCAGGGCAGCGAGGTTTCCCTTGCTAGTCAGGCCATCCCGCAGCTGTCGGTGTCTGTCCTGATAGACCCTGGGCTTCCTGTTGCTTCTAATGTGGAGAAAGAGCTTTTAGGAGTGTGGGACTGGAAGGGGCCTCTTGGGCCGCTGGGTGCAGCCCCCCAGCTGGCTGCTTGGGAATCCACCCCGGAAGAACTCCTTTGCTCTCAAAAAGCAGCAGTAGCTGTGGATGCCCCCGTAGCAGGGGCTGCTGACTCTGGTTAATGAGATGAGGATGGGTACAACCCCCTTGTAGTGCCCTCAGTTGCCGGGCGATTTACCTTGGGAGGTGCATGAGATAGCTGCGTGGGCTGGAGGGCTGGGTGGGGGAGCATCCTCTACATCTCATGAGAGCTGCTGAGAATGGGAAAACTATAGGGCTTTGCTGGGAGGGCCTTTAAACCTGTTCTGAAGCCTCAGGCTGAATAAAGAGATGGGGCTGAGGGGTCCTACGTGCTGCTTTGTTCCCTCCTCCAGAACCGAGGGAAGGGAGGGGCCGTCAGCAAGCTGATGGAGAGCATGGCTGCGGAAGAGGATTTCGAGCCCAATCAAGACAGCAGCTTCTCCGAGGACGAGAATCTCCCCCTGAGCATGCTCGTGGAGCGGCCGCCTACCCCGGGTAAGAGCAGGCGGGCTGGAAGCACCCTTGGGCCACACATAGACCTGGGGAAAGCTGTGCTGGTCTCTCAACAGGAAAATCAGCTAGTGCCTCTGCCCTGCGCTTCCCCAGTAAAGCAGCACTAATGGGGTTTTTCACTTTTACCCATCGGCTTACGACGTAGGCAGACAGAGGGAAGAAGTTCTCTGCGTTGGCTTAGTTGATCAGTGGAGATTGAAAGTCACCTTAGAGGAGCCCTCCCTCCCCGATAGCTTTCGCTCTGTCAATTCCTAGCATAGATTTCATAGACATCAGGGCTGGAAGGGACCTTGGATGATCATTGAGTCCAGCCCCCCTGCCCCAGGGGCAGGAAGTCAGCTGGGGTCATAGGATCTCAGCAAGATGAACATCCAGATGTCTCTTGAAGGTGTTCAGAGTAGGTGCTTGAACCACCTCTGATGGCAGGCTGGTCCAGACCTTGGGGGCTCGGACAGTAAAGAAATTCTTCCTCATGTCCAGCCTGAAACAGTCATGGAGAAGTTTGTGACCATTCGGCCTCGTCATCCCTTGGGGTGCTCTGGTAAACAGACGTTCCCCCAGATACTGGTGGTCACCCCTGATAAACAAACTTATAGGTGGCCACCAGATCATCCCTGAGCCTGCGCTTTTCCAGGGTGAACAGCCCCATGGCTCTCAGCCTGTCGTCGTAAGGTCTGTTTTCCTGACCTCTGATCATGCGCGTAGCTCTTCTCTGGACTCTCTCAAGCTTCTCCACATCCTTTTTGAATTGTGGAGCCCAAAGCTGGATGCAGTACTCCAGCTGCAGCCTCACCAAGGCCAAGTACAAGGGGAGAATGACGTCCCAGGATTTGCTTGAGAAGCATCTATGGATGCAAGCCAGCATTTTGGTCGCTTTACTAGCCACAGCATCACACTGAAGGCTCATGTTCATCTTAGGGACAATCGTGACCCTCAAGTCTCTTTCTTCCGTAGTGTTAGCCAGCGTAGCACAGCCGAGCCTATAAGGATGCTACAGGTTTTTCTTCCCAAGGTGGAGAACCCTGCATCTTTCAGTGTTAAACACCATCAGGTTCTCATCCACCCATTTGCTGAGCCCGTCCAGGTCAGCCTGGATCGCCCGCCTGTCCTCAGGTTTACCCCAGAGTTTGGTGTCGTTGGCGAACGTGGCCCGTCCACTTCTGATACCAGTGTCCACATTAATGAAGATATTGAATAGTATAGGCCCAAGGACAAGCCTTGGGGGACCCCACTGGTCACAGGGCACCATGACGATTGACTTCCATGAACCACCACCCTCTGGGTCTGACCATGGAGCCAATTGCCCAGCCAGTGGATCGTAGTGAGGCCGCAGTTAGCCAGTTTTGCTAAGAGGTGATCATGGGATACCAGATCAAAAGCTTTTTTAAAGTGAAGATGTATGACATCAATCTCTTCTCCCTTGTCCGGGTGATATGTCACCTGGTCGTAGAAGGAAATGAGATTGGTCAAGCAAGACCTACCCACAACAAACCCATGCTGGCTATCCCTTTAAAGCACCACAACAGGTTTCCAGGAGAATTTTGTCTGATTTCTAGTGAAAGATTCATCTGTATTAAATGCCAGGTGTTGACTGGCTTATTAATGTCACCTCTAGATGACCACAGTGCCTGGGAGCCAGCTGAAAATGGGTTCTGCTTGTGTTAGGGGCTCTCCAAAGAGTCACAGGCCTTGTCCTAAAGAGCTTACTGTCTACATGAGGCCTCTGGGGCTCCTTCACAGGAGAGGAGGTCTTGGTTTTTACCCCACCCCCATCTCCTCCATGGGATTGCTCTTCTTGGTGCTGAATGAATTCCCTCCCTGGCTCCGTTTCAGCGCCCCGCTCCTGTATTATCGACAAAGATGAACTGAAAGATGGGCTGAGGGTCCTCATTCCCATGGATGACAAGCTGCTGTATGCCGGGCACGTGAAGACTGTGCACTCGCCTGACATGTGAGTAAGAGGGTGGCTTCATCACACGGTGTTGCCGGCTCGTCCTTCACACCCAGTGGGGCCTGCTCCGTGCTCTCTGGGGTTTGGGTTGTGAGGCAGCCTGATGGATCCTTGGGTACATGGGCGGGAGCAATCCCTGTGTTTAGCCAGGAAAGGTGGAATCAACTAGTTTACTGGCGCGTTCCTCGAGTGGAGAAGAGGTATCTGCACATTGAGCAGTTTAAACTGACCTCTGGGAATGGTGCAGTGAAAAGTGATGGCGCCTGGGGAAGGATTGAGGAGCTGCAGCCTGGGGAAGGGTGATAGGGGCAGCATTTCTTCCTTGCTCTGCTTGTCGCGGCCTCTCCCATCCTCCTGACGCACTGGGTCTTGTGATCCAGATACCGTGTGGTGGTGGAAGGGGAAAGAGGAAACCGTCCCCACATCTATTGTCTGGAGCAGCTTCTGCAGGAGGCGGTAAGTCTGGCTGCTGTACCCTCCTTGCGTGAGGATGTGACTTCCATGCTGGGGATGGTGTGCTGAAGGAAAATCTCACTGGTGGGAGGAGAAGGGGGCTTGAGCAGGTTCAAAGTGCACCCTGTGCTCATCTCCGGTGAGCCCTTTGGGTGGAGCAGGTGCTGGACTGAGCATTTTGTGCCTCACGGCAGGTGTAGTTGGCTTCCTGGCTTCATGGGTACAGGTTTCCTTTGGCAACAGCCCTGGCTGGCAACGGGCGAGGGAACCCACGCCAGCACCAAGGGCTTAACCCTCTTCTGCCAGGAACCATGGCCTTCATTGTATCAAGGGGAAGGACTTGAGCATCTGCTACAAGAGATTTCGCTCCTTGTCTGGCTCTGGGGGGTTGAGGAGCTGCCTTCGTGAGTCCGGAGGGTGGGGTAGGTCAGCAGGGCCTGGCTGAGCCTGGAGCCCAGGAAATGTCTGCTAGCCGGTTGTCTCCTGAAACATCAAATGTCCTAAAGGTGCCCAGGGAATAACTGACTTGGTCTTCCACCCCACGCAGATCATTGACGTGAAGCCCCCATCGGTGCGATTCCTCCCCGAAGGAACAAGGATTGCAGCCTACTGGAGCCAGCAGTACCGCTGCCTGTACCCGGGGACAGTCGTCAGAGGTGAGGGCATGCCAGCTCCCGCAGCAGGAGCATCTTAGCACATCACTGCCTCGTGGTCCAGTACCTTGCTTAGGGTGAGGTTTCCAAAGTGGTCAGATGGGATTTGGAGCCCAAAGCCCAGTGAAATTCAACAACCAATTTCAAAAGCCCATACATTTCTAAGGAGCCAGGCCCCAGCTGACTTCCAGTGAGGCATAGGTCCCTAAGTCACAGAGGTGCCTTTGAAAACTTTTGTCCTGGGTGCCTGAGTCCATTAGGCCTCTTTGAACACCCTGGTCTTAAGAGCAGGGCTGTCAAAAGAGACACCAGCGTGACTGTCAGGCATTGCCTGCTTCCCCTAACATAGTTTCGTGTCGAACAACGGTGAGAGTCGTGGCTGTGACCGCTCTTAGGTTATAAATCACCCTTTTGGAAGAACTGAGGAGAGCGAATGTCACTGTAAGACTGGAGAGATCGGTGCAAGGAGAGGGGGGCGAAACGGACTCTTTTCCTGGGAGGGAAGATGAAGGGGGGGCAACCTGTGGTAGCAGAGGGTGGTTACAAATCCCGGGCCAGGAGTGAGGGACATGGGTGGCAACAGGGCACGTGCACACGTGTGTAGCAGGCGGGGTGGACTGTCAAGGGGGGAGATGAGTGGTGATTGTGGTGCAGACTTCACACTTAAAGGTCTCCCCCCGATGGAGAATGCCCACCTTGTTTTGGGCTGCAGGAGAGGTTTTGCTCTCCAGCCCGTGGCTCCCAGAGGCAGAGAGGCTGTCAGAGAAGCCAGGGCTTGAGGGGCCCGTGAGCCACAGCTGTAGACCTGCCTGAGCAGCTGCACCGAGAAAGTGGTGTGGGGCCTTTGAGTCTCACCCTCACTGGTGCTTTCGCTGGAGAGATCTGTGGGGTAGAGGAGCGGTCGTGATTCCCCCCCTCCAACCCCAACACAGCTTTCACGTCCCCTGCCTGTTTCCGCGCCTGCCTTGGGCTGATTTCTGCCTCTGGTTCAACCCACCAAGTCTGGGCCTTACCCTTTTCCCAAACTCTTTCTCCCCAACCTGCAGGGGCCCTTGATCTGGAGGAAGATGGAGACCTGATAACGGTGGAGTTTGATGACGGGGACACTGGACGGATCCCCCTGTCCCACATTCGACTCCTCCCACCTGACTACAAGATCCAGTGTACGTAGGGGCTGTTAGATTAGGCTCTTTGCCCCAATACCTGCTCTTTTATCCTGTGAGGTCCTAGTAGCTTCCTTTTCAGCTTCCTTTAAAGGGAGCTTTCCCACATGGGGACACTCAGGAGAAGTACCATCTCCTCAGATCCTGTGGAGGATTCATAGCTTTTCTTTTTTCCCCTCAAGGGTACTGCCGCAGATATTTATATGAGTCTCTGAACTGAGTTCCCAGGGTGGGCGCATTGTAATGATAACCTGTGTGGGGTTAGTCCTTGCCTGCCCAGTGTTGTACAGAAATCACTGCTGGCCAACGCATCGCGTGCATGCCTCAGTGCCTGGGGGAGGATCTAGAGAGAGTAGCAGACTTTGATTTAATGGGTGCCAGTTCACTCCCCTCCGGGCCTGGCCTGTTCACGTCGGGTTGCCCAGCAGGAGCCCGCCATCCTGAATTGCCGCTCACTGTCTTCCTGACTTGCCATTCCAGGCGCAGAGCCCTCCCCAGCCCTCCTGGTGCCCAGCACCAAGCGCCGCAGCCGTAAGTCCAGCAAGGATGCTGGGGAAGGGAAGGAGAGCGCTGCCCTGGGGTCAGAGGAGCCAGCTGCAAAGGGCAAAGGGCGTGGGAGGAAACCGAACGTCAAGCCGAAAGCTGGTATGTTGATGCCAACCCCTTGACTCCCAGTGCTGGAGCAGAGCCTTCCCTGGAGGAGATGGTGGTTCCCTGCGTTAGTCCAGGGAGGGCTAACCTGCACCCCCCGGTTATAGAGGCTGCCCATGATGTGGCTTTAGTGTTGGCCTCAGAGCTCACCGGCCTGTGGGATTTATCAAGCCTGAGGAAAGGGGCCTTCCAGGAGAGGGGAGGGCAAGGCTAAATGATAAAGGGAAGGTGGTGAAGGGGCGATCTCTGCCTCGGTCCCAAGCTGGGTGCAGGGAGCACCAAGAGCCATTTGCATGTAGAGGGAGGCCAGGCTGTGGCCCGTGTACATCTCTCGGCCCACTCTGTTCCTCTGCAGATGTGGCCGCCCTGCCGGAAGAGGCCAGCCTGGCAGAGTCGGCCTCCAGCGCTGCTTCTGCTCCCGAGAAGACAATCTGCCTCAGCAAGCAGACCGCGAAGGGGGCACGGAAGAGCCAACAGCTCCCCGCGGGAGGCTCCCCGGTGCCCGCTGAGGAGAAGCGAAACAAAGCCAGCAAAATGAAAATCTCCGCTAAGCTGCACGGCCCAGCCCAGCCTTCGTTCCAGCCGCCTGTTTTTGGTGGCGTCATCAGCCCGGAGCCCTACAGCGAGCTGCCCGGGCCGCTGGGGACCTTCAGCCCTGCAGACACCCCCTCTGGGAAGGCCAAAGGCAAAAAGGGCCGGTCGGCCGAGGAGGGGCAGGAGTTTAGCTCGACGGCCAAGGCTCAGAGGAAGCAGCCAGACAGCGAGATCCTCATCAAGCTGGACCACGAGGGCGTGATGTCTCCTAAGACCAAGAAGATGAAGGAAGCCATGAGGATGCTGGAGGACTCGGGTCTGGCGAGCCGGAGGGATGGCAAGGGCGTGCTGAGCTTGGGCTACCCCTCGGCCATGAGTGGTGACGCCAAGCAGAAGTCCTCCCGCACCAAGGTGGCAGAGGGGGAGCCTTCGGCAGGCAGCTTTGGGAGCTCCGGGGAAAGCCTGGCTGCCTCGAAGGATCAGGAAGACAAAGCCTCGCCCGCCGGGGCCAGGGAGGAGTCGGAAAGCAACAGCAGCGACAGCAGCTCGGAGTCGGAGGGTGAGGAGGAAGCAGAGAAGAACGGGGGCGAGGCCCAGGACAGCAGCTCAGCCAGCTCACGGGCCTCCACGCCACTCTCCTCCTCCAACTCCTCCTCCTCCTCCAGCAGCAGCAGCTCCTCCTCCTCCTCCTCCTCATCATCATCCTCCTCCTCATCCTCTGCCTCCTCCACTTCATCCTCCTCCAGCTCCAGCTCCTCCTCCTCCACCACGGACGAGGACTCCTCATGCAGCTCGGACGAGGAGGCAGCCGAGGCCCAGCCCAGCTCCTCAGTCCAGCCCGCCCTCCCTCCAAAGCCAGCCAAGCAGGCTGGGAAGTCCCGCGCCTCTTCCCACCCACCAGGCCAGAAGCAGCCACCGCCACCTCCGCAGCAGCAGCAGCAGAAGCAGCAGCAGAAGCAGCAGCAGGGCGGCAACAAGAGCAGACCCAAGAAGCGCGAGGGGATCCATCTGCCCACCACCAAGGAGCTGGCCAAGCGCCAGCGCCTGCCCTCCGTGGAGAACAGGCCCAAGATCGCGGCTTTCCTCCCTGCCCGCCAGCTCTGGAAGTGGTTTGGGAAGCCCACGCAGGTACGCATAGCCCCGGGACCCCCGTTCCTTTCCTGCCGCGCCGTAGTGTGCTGTTGCGAGCGTCGTGTTTCAGAGCAGAGCGACAAAGGCACAGCCTTGTGCCAAGCGGGGGGTGACTGCTTCAGTTGTAATGCCCCCTGGGACGAGCAGACCTTGGTACTGACATCCCTGGTACTCCCCCACTCCCTTGTCCCCAAAGGGATACGGGCACGACAGCCATCGCTGTCATTCTCCCGATTGGGGGAGTGCGGTGGGCAAGGCCAGTTGGCCTCCGGTGATCCTCGCCCTGGAGAGGTGCCTTTTGGCCGCACTGCCCTAGAGGCTGGGGTGACAGCGATCCTCAGGGGGTGCAGGTGGGGAGAGCAAGTAACCTGAACGTGCCGAGGGGATGTGCAAGGCTGATCTGGGTGTGTTGCTGGGCTGGTTTGGCAGAGACGAGGAATGAAGGGGAAGGCCAGGAAGCTGTTCTACAAGGCCATCGTCCGCGGCAAGGAGATCATCCGCATTGGAGACTGCGCCGTTTTCCTGTCAGCCGGCCGGCCCAACCTACCCTACATCGGCCGGATCCAGAGCATGTGGGAGTCGTGGGGTAACAACATGGTCGTCCGGGTCAAATGGTTTTACCACCCGGAGGAAACCAACCCCGGGAAGAAGCTCAACGAAGGCAAGGTGCGTGTGCTGAGCTGGACAGGCTCCTTTCTCTCCTGCAGCAAGAGCAGCTTTTCCATTTGTGTCAAAGTACCAGCAAGTAAATTACTGTCTGCTTTTGGCCAGGACCCTGGCAAAGGGGTGTGGAGATGATGTGTTGTCCAGGCTGCTGGGGAGCAGGCATGCCCAGTTGTCCCACAAAGGCACTTGAGAGGGAGGGAGGGCATGTTATACTTCTTGGAAACAAAACCAAGCTGCCTGGGCCAAACAGTGGGTTGAGGCAGGGGTGCATACAGCCAGGCAAGTAATTCCCACTGTCTTGTGTGTGAAGAGCAAGGTCAGGTCCCTGGTGGGTATCGAGGCCATCGGCCTGGCTTTCAGGGGTCCTGAGGGCCTGCAGCTCCCATTGACGTCAAGGGAAGTTAAAGCTACTCAGCCTCTCTGAAGATCAGGGCCTGTCTGTTCACCTTGGTGGCTCCAAATGGAGATGCTGGCTCTGGGGATACGTGGTTTTTTGTGGCGATGGTGCGGAGCTGTCCTGAGTTATTCCTTTTCCCTTCTGTCCCTCCCTTTCTTCCCTGGCCAATGCATCCGACACAGCGCTGGGATCAGAAATCTGGCAGGAGTCTCTCCACGGCTTTGCAGGCATCCAACCAGAGGAAGGACTTCATGGAGGTAGGTGGGAGGTGCTTCTTCCTCCCAGGAGAAGGCTTGCAGGGGGGCCATTGACCTCTCTGCTCTTGGAAGCAGAGTAACAAAGACCAGGGAGGTAAAAGCATTTTGACCTTTCCTTGGCCACTTCTCTCCAGCAACGGGCTCCAGCTACAAAGCCCCTGCAGACCTAGGTTTTCGTGTGGCACAGGGTGAGGGAGCTGCAGAGTTTGGTTTGTGTCCAAATGCCCCTGCAGTTCAGGGGTGCTTGGAGCCAGCAGTCCATCAGGCCTGTCTTCGTTTCCCTTCCTTGCAGTGATGGCCCCAGCCAGATTTAGATGCTCGCAGAGAGGCTGAGACTTGGGAAATGGGCAGTGGGTTTGGTGGACAATGGGTGGAGCATCTGTGCAGGGGCTGCCCTCAGCTGCAACCCCCCCAGGCCCACTTGTGTATCCCCTCACCCCCAGTACGTAGCCCGCTGGCCCCTCTCTGGCCCAGGGCGCTTGATCTGTGGTAAAGAAAACATGTTAGGAAGCGTCCTCTGATGACTGCTTTGCTGTCTGTCTCTCTTGTCCTCATCTAGCGAGCGCTGTACCAGTCCTCTCACGTGGACGAGAACGACGTCCAGACCATTTCTCACAAGTGTCTGGTGGTCGGACTGGACCAGTATGAGCAGATGCTGAAGACGAAGAAGTACCAAGACAGCGAGGATCTCTACTACCTAGCAGGGACGTATGAGCCCACCACAGGCATGATCTTCAACACAGACGGGGTCCCGGTCATCTGCTGACGGCCTAGGAAGAGCGGAGCGCCAGAGCCTGTGCCATCCAACTAGGGAGTCCCGGTGCCCCTTGAGGAGAGGGGCTGGGTGACCCTGGTGATGTGCCTGTTCAGACGACATGATTGTTTCCTTTAATGCTCACGACTTGTGTGTCACGCTATGGATGGGGCTTCACAGGGAGGAGAGAGTGCGAGTGAGCGGCACGAGCAGGGTGTGGGGGCAGCAAACGTAGGACTTCGGGAAGGTGCCTTCAGGACAGCAGGAGAGATCAGATGCTGCTGCTCTTACGGGAGAACGGAGTGGCTTTAACTAAGGAAACCACTAGTTTCTTCCCTCCTCCTCCACACCCTGGAGGGCTGACAGCGTCGTCATCATTTCACTGGCAGGATGACATCCCAAAAGGACGGCTTGGGGGTTTGCCTCCCTCAACGGGCCACCTTGCCTAGGAGGAGCTCTGCTAACAACAGCCCCCTCCCATGGCATCTCCCTTCTTGCCAACTGCATGCAGCCTTGGGGAGAGGAAGAGGTGGAAGAGAAGGGCGAAGGGGCTCTGAGCACCTCAGCTCAAATGGGCAGGGGCACCTTTGATTGGTTTCCCTTCTTTTAAGGCCACTGGCTGCCGGCTGGGGAGGGCGACAGGGAGCAGGCAGTCGTGGGGATGGAGTCAGGAGGCAGAGCTGTAGGCGGACGTCCCTCCACGGGGAGGAGGAGCCGGGGGGAAGAGGAGACGATTTCCAAAGCCGCATCGTGTCAACCTTAGTGCATGCTGCACAGTTTGGCTGGAGTCAGTGATTCAAGGCAGGGGTAGGGTGGGGAATGGGATGGGCTTCAGTCCGAGGGGTGGAGAACAGCAGGTGGAGATCTCCTTTTTGGGGATGCAGGAGAGGGAGGTTGAGCAAAGCAGTTTTGAAACAGTGAAGCCGCTTCTTGAAGTTTGATGAGAGGGATAGAGGCCACCGCCCAGTGCTTCTGCTGGCCCGGGCAGGACTCCTTGGATCTCCCACAGAACGGAGCACCCGAGTGTCCCCCGCCGCCTACCGATCAAGGAAGATCTCGCTCTCCGGTTCCCTGTGCAGGAGAGAGCAGCACCTACCTCGCCCAGCAACCTCGATGCAGGGATGCAGTCCATCTGTCCCTCCTGGGCCTGGTGACCGGGTCACCTGAGAGCATTGGGGACTGGAGCAAAGAATCAGCGTGGCTGGGGCCACGTGGATGACCTCCTTGGACGTCACTGAGATCAGATGCAACGTCACCCTTTTCCAAGAAGCCGGCTCTCCATCTTGTTGGCCATCCCCAGCTTTGCCACCTGCCTTCAAGTCTGCTCTGGGGGAAGCTGGTTTTGGATTCTGGGGCACGGAGGGCCCTTGCTCGCAGATGGAGCGGTGGGATGACACTATGGCGCTGCACCCTTGCACTTAACCGAGAACAAACACGCGAGACGCACTGATCTTGGCAACGAACCTGATTCGCACGCGCTACATAGTCGTATGCACGCTAGTGGGTCTGTTCCAGTCCAGGCTGGAGCAAGGCAATGCTACTCCAGTGGGGGAGGTGCTTATGAGGACAGATTTTTCACTATCTGCCATGAGTACAAGAGACTTGCAACCTAGCGAAAGGGGAGAGAATGAAACCGGAAAGTAACCCCTTCTACACAACAAGAACCACAACGGTGCTGGCTTCCAGCCACCTCTGCCCCAGACCATGGGCTCACCAAGACTTGGTGGATATTAATGTTTCTAAACTGTACAGTTTTAATGTACCAAAAGACTCTTTAGCCCGCCTGTATTATAAGTCTTTAAATGGATTCAACTTTTTAATTATAAATATAAATATAAATATATATATATAAATATAAACTTTTTAAAACTGTGAAAAAAAATTATGAAATTATAAAAAAGAAAGGAAAAAAAAGAAAGAAAGAAAAAAAAAAACAGAAACCACCCCCCCGACACAGTCTGACGTTTAGAATATTATTTTTTATTTCCTGTTGGATTGTGATTGTAAATGAACCGGGAACAGATACACGCACCCACCCCTGTCCCCCTACACGCCAGTTGTACTGTACTTCGAGACGCAAACGGTGTGAGCAGATTTTAAAGAGAGAGAGAGAGATTGGGAGAGATTTTATGCTAATGTTAAATAGAAAGCACTTACTGCCCGATGCCTTCTATGGAACACGAGGATATTTCAGACAATCGAAAGGAAAGGAGAGCCAGGTTTTTTTTGTCTCTTATTTTTTGTTCGTTTGTTTCTGTTCTGTTTGTTTTTTGGTTTTTTTGGCATTTCTGTTTGTTGGAGAATCCGTGTGATCTTTTTTCATAAAAAAAAAATCAATTGGAAAAAAAAACCAAAAGCCCCGGAACATCTTTGTTTGCCCCGGCGGGCGGGCTCTGGGTATGGCGTGGCTCGCCGGTCGCTTATGGGGCGGGGAGAAGGGCCCGTGGGTGGGTCGCTGGGCCAGGGAAGCTATCCCAAAGCGTGCAGGGAAATACAACTGCCCTGATTGCTGCCTTTGAACCTGCGTGGTGCTGCCTGCTCCGTCCGCCTTTGCCTAGGGGAATGCTTCAATCCGGTTTCGCTCTTCCCTCCCCATTCAGTCAAGTTGCCTCCATGCGTGCCTATGTCCCCAGGGCCCGAGGAGAGCTAAGTGTGTGCTAAACTCTGGGTGCTCTGCAGCATTGCTGTCCACGGCCCAGCGCACCCAGCCCCTGCTGCCAGCCAGAAGCCTGGGCAACAAGCAGGAAAAGCCTGGCTCAGTAAAGGGTCTCCATCCTTTCTGCTGACAGCGGTGACTCCAATACACACCAGGCCCTGGATCTGCTGGGCGAGGAGGCATCGCTTGTAGAGTCACTTGTCCATGGCTGTCAACAGCCGCCATGGGACCGATGGGTCCTGGCTGGCTGGAGCCAGGAGGGCGAGGGGCAGGCGCGGTGCCCTGAGCAGCTGGGGTTTGCTCATGCCCGGCACTGGTCCCTGCCTCCGCCCCCACTCGCATGCTGGTCCCTTCACCTGGCGCTTGCCTGCCCCAAAAGCTGCCCTCGCTCCCTGGTGCTGCTGTCCATTCATGTTGCCCCTTCTGGCTACTCAGGCTCTGCCTTTGGCACTCACTTGCCACGGGGAGCTCTGGGGGAGTGGAGGAGGCAGCTGGAAAGTGCCTCTCTGTCTGCAAGGGCCAATGCCTCTGGCTTTTCCTCTGCTTGATGTGGGGCTCTGATGCCAATGTCTTGTGGCAAGCGTTTTGCTAAGGAGTCCACCCTGGATCCCAGCCATGACCCGCTTCAGGAGCATCCCGGTAGCACCCTTTCCCTGGCATGATGGTATAGAGCAGGGGTCAGCAATGTTTTTGGACAGCGTGCCAAAAACACCCGCAAACTCAGCTTGGAAGGTGTTGGTGTGCCAGGGGCAGATGGTGGGGGAGCTGCAAGGGGCCCAATCCTTGCGGCAATGCAGCTCCGGCCCTTTCCCTGCTGTCCGCCCCAAGGTGTGCGTGCCAAGAAAATGCCTTCATGTGCCATGCTCTGGCACGCATGCCAGGGGTTGCCTACTGGTATAGAGACATCTCGCTCAGCACTGGGAGGCGCGTTGTCCCTGCACAGCCCCAGAGCAGGTCGCAGCGGCCTCAGAGCCTGGGGACCGGGGAAGGCTGACCTCTGGCCACCTCTATGGGTCATGGAGCCATGTGCCCCCTCGTTCATGCTCCTGGGGCTGGCTACGAGCTCTCCCCTCCTGGCAGAGGGGGGCCACGGCAAGGAGTCCGCGGCTTGGGAGGCAGGGAGCTATGGGCTGCTTTATCCATGGCTCCCCCGCCCCGACAGCTCCCTTGCAGGCCAGCAAAGGCGGGGTGGAGCCGACAAGCACTGCCTCCCTGCAGGCTGTGGGGCGCAGAAGGCATTAGGTGCTGCCAAGCTCTCAAGGCACAGGAGAGGCAAGAGTGGCGCACGCCAAGGGGCAGAGAGGGCAAGGTCATGGGCCTGTATTGGGAGAGGGTGGGTGGGCAAGAGGGGGCCTCTCCTCCAGGGCAGCAGCAAAGGCCGAGGTCACGGGTGCAGTGCCTTTTAGCAGAACCGGAGCAAAGCCGGAACAGCAGCACAGCAGCGACAGGCAAGGCTTGGGGGGACCCCCTTGAGCTGCATGCTCTGGCCTCGCTTAGCCCAGGCCGCAGCCTGCAGCTCTCATGCCCCATGGCTGCAAACACTGGCTCCTTTCCTGCTGCGCTGCCTTATTGCAGCAGGGCAGCCTGCACCGCCGCCAAGTACAGGGTTGCCCTTTGCTGCAGCCTCCACCTTGCTGCCGGGCCCTGCACAGGCTCCTGCCCCTGGTCTGCTCCATCACGTGGTTTTGGCTGCTGCTGCGCCAAGCCCCATGTCTGCACAGGGTTCAGAGCCCACCTGTGGTTGGGTGGCCACCGTTAGGGGCTGCGAATCCTGCCCAGGTTATCAGCTGCAGGGCAGCGCACCCCAGTGCCCGTGCGGTTCCCTTCTGGGGAGGGCTCGGCAAGGGGGGGGTCTTAGCCAGGACCCAATGGCCAGTCCAGGCAAGAGGCAGCGGCTCAGCCTCAAGAGAGAAGTTTTGGCAGTCCTCTAACTGGTGCCCTGGGCTCAGCCCCTGGCAAGGCAAACAGAAGGCTGTGGGTTCAAAGCCCCCCAGGGATGAGTGAGGCAAGCCCAGGAGCTGGGTCTCCTGTTGGCTGGGCAAGCACCTGCCTGCTCACCACTGCAGCTGATATGTAGTGTCCCCTTCTCTTCCTGGGGTTGGCCTTATTTCAGAGGTTGTACACGGGAGGGTGTGGGGAGCTGTAACCCTCGCCGTGCCAGCCCACAGCTCCCCGAGCATGCTACTGAGAGCCCTGCAAGTGCACGCTGGGTGCCAGTGCCCAAGACCCCGACTTGCAGGGCTGCCAAGTTGCTGCGTGGAGGTACTGCAGGAACCTGGCCCTCAGCAGGGCGCAGGCTGTACCTGGGGGACGCTGGCTGCGTTGCTGTACGAGTGCTGAACTGCTGCAGGATGCGGGGATCACGCCTGCACCCTACATCGCGCCATGCAGGGATTGCGTGCAGCACCTGGCAATGCAGCCAGCAGCGCTTGGAGGCGCTGACCACTGGGGGCCCTGACCTGCCTCTGCCCCATGGAGGATCTGGATAGGCGTCCACCACACTCTGCCCCTGCCACCCAGTCCGGCTGCTCCTCCTAGATGGTGAGTCCCTTTTCAAATGGTTTGATAGGAAGAGCGGTGGGGGGCTGGGGGCCCTTCTGTCCCTGCCGCTGCTGCAAAGCTCTTGGGGCCTGGGGAGTGACAGCTGGGCTGTCCTGCAGCAGACGGCGCTTGGCTGGGTCTGACATGTCTCCCCGTGGCCCCCACACAGGTTGTGGCATGGGGTTAGCAGGCGCACAGCAGCCCCAGCCCTGCTGCGCATCCTTCACATGCAAGAAACCAGGCATGTTGGGGGTGATATGCTTTATTGTCCCAATGGCTTGGGTGGGATGGACTCAGACAAGCTTTCCCATGTGTTGCATTCATCTTTGGGCCCTTTAACTTCTTCTCCCGCTCCCCAGTTGGGTCTTCAGCTTCCCCCTCCCACAAGCAGAGTCTGCTAGGTCACAGCTGCACTTGAGGAGGATCAGCCCTGTGAACCTGGTCGTAGCCAGGCCTTGGCCTTGTAGCGGTGTCCTCTGCAGCCAGAGATGTCCAGGGAGATATAGGTCCCCCCGACTCCCAGCCCTCTTGCAGTGTCTGGAGGCAGCTGTCCCCAACCAGCACAGCATGGCCTGGGCCCTGTTGCAGCTCAGCTAAGTGGGCTAACAGCACTAGGAGGCCGCTCCACCATCCAGCTGGAAGCCTCCAGCCTTGCTGACAGGGCAGCCCCCTCCCATGGTGGTAAGGGTGACCACCTGCTTTGCTGCCAGAGCCTGAGACCTGGGGAGTATAAGGGGACTTGTCTGGTGGAGCAGGGAGGGATCCCACAGCCACTTACCTGCCCTGCTAGACTAGACTAGACTCCCCCCAGCAGCACCCTCTGAGGCCGGACGGCCTCTCAAAACGGCCCCGATTCAGTTCGTTGTGCATGGCACCTGGCTCACCCCTTCCTTACTGCTTCTGGCAGGCAGTTCAGGCAAGGAGGGGGACAATGCATGCACTTATCCGTCCTTGCAAAGCCACATCCTTTTGGCAGTGTCTCTTTCCAACAGCACAATTTCCAGTACCTGTTTGACACTAACTTAAATATATATACGCAAAGCATTTGATTGCCTCTGAACTGCGCAGACCTGCTCTGCAGTGCGCAGGAAGTCAAGCAAGCCTTGACTTGAAGAGGGATGTCCCGCTGCGTTTGCCCTGCCTGAAAAGGGACTTCATCTCCCCCCACGGCAGACGCGAGCTTCCTGGACTTGCAAGGGGCACCGCGGTTTCCATGCAGGCTGTTGGAGCAGGGTCAGCTGCAGCAGGCATCCAGAACCAAGTGCCCTCAGTGCCCAGGCAAGCGTGTCTGGAGACGAGGTTGGGTCTGGGAGTAGCTCTGAAGACAAGCTAGGTCCAAAACAAAATTCCTCCAAGCACTGAGCAGGTCTTCAGACAGCAGCGTTCCCAAGGCAAGGCCAACAGAGGTCAAGGCTCCCTCAAGACAGGGCTTTCTTCCGCTGGCCCTTTTCTATCAGCATCTCCGGGATTGCTTTATCTCAAACACAGCTGCATCCTGCCTGGTTGTTTGAAGTGCCTGGCAAGTTTCTGTTAGTGATCCTGGCTCTGGTCTTGAGCCACAGGGTGCCCAGTCACCAGCTGGCTGGCAGCGGGCACTGCTGTAGGATCAGGGGAGAAAGAGTTTCATGCCCATTAGACAAGGCAGGTGGGAGGATGCCTGATATTCTGGAGGGGGAGCTCTGTGGTGTGAGCACAGAGAGCTGGTAGAGGAGAGCACATAGGCTGCCCTGTATGGAGAAATGCTTCTGCAAATGAGGGATGAATGAGAAGGCTCTGAAGACAAAGGCAATGGTCTATGCTGGCATTTAGGATTGCCCTCAACCAGCCAGGACCACATGAGCCACCCCTTCCCCACCTCTGTTGCCTGCTTTCTGGGCCTTGAACACAGCTTTTCTGGGAATCTGGCTACCCGCAACTTCTCCCTCTTTGTGTGCTTGGCTTTCATCCCGACCCAGCAGCAGGAACAGGCAGCAGGGCACCGAAGGGGTGAGTCAAGGGCAGGGAACTGTGGGATGGCTGTAGGAGGTCCTCCTATGGCAGTGATTTTCAACCAGGGTGCTGCAGCACCCCGGTGTGCCTTGAGATCCTTTCAAGGGTGCTCTGGGGTGCCTCACAATGTCAGCATGGTTGGGTTTGCCAACACAATTCACAAGATACACCCAGAGATGTCAGTAGGAATCCACAGTGTTAGAACTGCTCTGCTGGCATCTCACCTGAGCTCTTTGCACCAGAAGACTTGCTGTATGATTCTCCATAGCCAAAAAACAAGCAAACACAAAGAGCTGGCATTTTCCGAGGAGGCCTTTGAGTCTACTGAGGGGGTGCCTTGAATCCAGAAAGATTGAGAACCACTGTCTTGTTTTTAGCTGGCTGAGCCCAGGCGAGTCCTCAACACGTGCAAAGAGGGGTTGTGGGGTGTGACCAGGGCAGACTTGACCTCAAACCTTGACACTCAGCAGTTTCCAGAGTCAGTCTGGACAGCTGCTGAGGGAGGAACTTGCGGTTTACAGTGTAGAGGTTGGTGCACAAGGGCTTTGAGGCACCCCTAAGTAGCTACATGCAATGTGACTGCACAGAAAGCAAAGGATAGGCCAGCAAAGAACTGCGAAGGGCCATTATTTCATGGGCTATGTGGTGCAAATCCATGCCTCCAACCATGGAAAAGGCCCTGGGATCATTACTCACGTCACAAGGCTTTGAACTGGCACACGGGGGCCACTCAAAACACAGAGCCACAAACACAACTCAATGCTGCTAGGCAAGGCTAAGGCTCATCAAAAGGACTTGATAGGATTGGTTTTTTAATTGCTATTTTTGCTACTGGTGGACTCAGCTGCCACAGGTCAGCTGCCAGGGGCCCAGAGGCAAATGGAGGCTCTGCTTTGATCATGTGGCCATGCTAATAAAACTCAAGCACTATAGCTTGGAGGCCCCCCTATGGAGCGACACAAGAATGGGGTGCTCTCGTCAGCAGCCCATCCAGTCTCACAAACAAGGCCAAGGAGGGAAGGGCTTCAAAGCCACCACTTCACCATCACCTACAGCTAGTGACCCAGGGCAGGGACAAGTCTCATGGCTGGACATGGCATGGCTGCTGTCCAGATTTGCAGCTGGGCCAGGCTAAAGAGCCCCTTTGGTTTCCTGGGCTGCCCTTCCAGCATCACTTACCAGCCCTAAATTAATTTAGGTGCAGTCTAAATTGTGTTCAGCGCTGAGTGTGAAGTGGAAAAAACCCACATCACACTTACAGGCTTGGCAGTGCTACACTCACTAGCACCATGACCAAAAGAGACTTGGGGGGGTCATGACTGCCCACAAAATGAACAGGATCCACCAATGTGATACCGCTGCTGGCAAAGCAAACACCACCCTGGCTTGCATCTACCGATGCATCTCAAGCAAGACCCAGAAAGTCTTCCTCCCCCTTTACTTGGCCCTGGTGAGGCCATAGCTGGGGTACTGCATCTGGTTCTGGGCCCTGCACTTTAGAAAGGACGTGGAGACACTTGAGAGAGTCCAGAGGAGCCACGTGCATGATCAGAGCACATGAGAGCAGACCTTATGAGAAGAGGCTGAGAGCCATGGGACTCTTCAGCCTGGAGAAGCGCAGGCTCAGGACGCATTTGGTGGCTGCCTATAAGTACATCAGGGGTGGTCATCAGGAGCTGGGAGAACATCTGTTCACCAGAGCACCCCAAGGGATGACAAGGTCTAACTGTCACAAATTCTAGGAAGACCACTTTAGGCTGGACATAAGAAAAAACTTCTTTACTGTCCAAGTCCCCAGCGTCTAGAACAGACTCCCCCCAGAAGTGGTGCAGGCACCTGCCCTGGACACTTTCAAGAAACATTTGGATGCCTATCTTGCTGGGATGATTTGACCCCAGCAGACTTCCTGCCCCTTGGGGCAGGGGGCTGGACCTGATGTTCTTGCGAGGTCCCTTCCAGCCCTAATGTCTATGACATCTGAGCACAATGGCTGGCTTTTTGCAGACAACCAGGCCATTAAACATAAACACTAACCCCTGGAAAACTACGTTCAAAAAGGTTTTGCTTTCCCTCAATGGGAGGAAAAATGAGTCTATTGATTCTGTCATAAACAGCTTCTGCAGCCACTCCTGTATTTTTTTTAAAAAGGAACATGACAGCCTATAAAACATATTTAAAGTGTTATAAAATTAGCTACACTCCCATTTGAAGTGGGGGGGGAGGTGATGGATCTCACTATTGTGCTGTAGGATATGTTCTGAAGAGCATCAATTGGCCAACTAACGTAGCTTGGCTTTCTCTGTTGTTCTGCCTGTGCTAGGCTGGTCTGCACCATCTCGCTCCATCAAGCAGATAAAAGGAATCAACGGGACACAATATTTCCCACCCTGCAATTCAGGAGATGGGCAGACCTGTGGGACCTTCAAGAGTTCAGCAAGAATGGACCAGCCTCCCCAGTCAAGCAAACAGCTTCAGAATAACATGGTTAAAAGCATGGGGGGTAAAACAGCACTAGGGATCCTTCAAGATCTTCTCAGCCCTTTGGGTTCATGTGTTCAAGCTCTGCTAGGTGGGTGCCTGGAAACACCTACTGTTTTTAATTAAAAGGAAAACACTGAGTATTGCCATATTTGCCCCGCAGCTCCTGGAAGTGGGATTTACAAGAAGAAAAGAAACCTACAGATGTATACGTGTTTCAGTTCTTCTTTGCAACCCCCCTGCTCTCTCGTCTTTGCCCCCAAACCCACAGCACACGTATTGTGGGTTCACACCGGCAACACGTTGTGTTAGTTTAGGGAGCTGTGCCAACAGGTACACGGCCAGGCAGTGCTGTCCCATGCTCCCTAACCAGACGTGCAACGGCTGCGTGGTACATACTACAAAGGTAGTGGCTGTGCCGACCCTGGGCTGTGCACTGAGGTGATGGGGTGGTGGTAAACAGGGATGTTTTAAGAGGGTGCATTTCCTCTCTGGTGCCTATAGGTTTGGGCTGAGGACCAGGACAAATGTCTGAGGTTGTCTTGGATGGATGAGCAGGGCTGATCCACTGCATCCATCAAAACCACATGCCTCTTCCTTTCTGGGCTGGGGTGGGGGGGACACAGAACCCCAAAACTACATCCAGGAAAAGTCTTTGCTGCTGTACCCTCCGGGGATGGAGCAGAGGGCTGGCTGGCTTCCCTCCCCTCCTCAAGGCCAGCTGTACACATTGGCCAGACTCCTGGGTGCAAGGGTTTGCCAAGATTTACAGACCTGCCCTCAGCTGGCCGGTTGGCTGTGTACACATTCTCCAGGTACCACCAGTGCAAAGCCTGCCCAAGCCCAAGCAGGCCACCATGAGTGAAAGTAACCTGAAGATGGACATGCCACTGTGTAGGACCAACCTTATCCCTGGTTTAATGCCACAGTGTTGAGTGGGGTTACA